TACACGCACTACGTTGTGCGAGATTCACATTTGCAAGGTGACCGAAAAGCCTATGTCAAGTTTGTTTCCTTTAAGGCTAGGGAACGCCGGTCGATAGGTAGTGTAGTGACAAGAAGGTCAGTTCTGAATGTTTTGATTATATATTTCGTAGAATATCCCCCAAAATGTTCTTGTCGGGTGTTCGTGCTCGCGTTCCTCCTCCCATCAGGAAGCCAGCTTTGGATGGCAGTTTTACCATTCTTCAATGATGAACAGCAATTTCGCACTTTCCTCCGGTTTGTACGGAACATTTTATATGGCAGGACACCCATTCCGGTGGATGCAAGTCCAGCACATCTTGCGGGACACAGTTTTTCATGTGGTTCCAAAGAAGAAATGGAAGTGGTGGCTGCAGCTTTGAGTACGACCACAACGGCAGGTCAGTAGCTTCATTTGAAACAATTTCGCAGTCACCTATAACAGTAACTACTCATCCAGGAAATAACTTAACCGTGGACCTAGACGCCAGTGTCGACCATCAAAGAGGGGATATGGAGTTGGTCGCTCAGAACTCTGAGGAGGTGGACCATGTAGATGTAAACGAAGGGGAGGGTTATATCTACAGAGGATTTTGTGAGGTTAGCTTCCAAAGTGATGCACTAACCTCCGTTCTACATGTCGGCACTTGGGTAGCATGCCTTTGTCATGCAACATTCCATATATTCTGCGCATGGAATCCACACCCAAGCAGCTTTTGTCTAGAATGCCATGCATGTGGAGGCAACCCTTGACAGGAAGGTAATATCAATGAAAATTAGAGGGATTTTCGTAAAAAACAGGTAATTTGCATCTTTGACTTTCACAACTGTACCCACCTCATTTTCAGATTGTAGATGAAGATAAACTGCACCAGAAGTGGATTTCTACTTCGTGATGGGAAGTAAACGGACAAAGGCCCTCCTCGGCGTCATACGAAATGTGATTTGAATGACTTCTTTCGTTCTTTCATATAAGTCAGAAGTAAATATCCATGTTCAACTACTTCACTTACCAACCGAATGAATGTATTACAGAATGGTAGATTGTTAAGAAGTGTAGGACAGAGAATGGTAACTATCTGTTATCCATCTAAGGTTCGGATAATTGAAAAGTCGAGGCGTATATACCCGTCAAAGCTGTTTGATCAGGTGAAGGATAAAGTCACGTCCCACTGTGTTTATTTATTTAAATGTATATTTTGTCAGCTATAGCTAATAGTAGCTACAATTGAATCACATTAAAAGTACTTATCCGAATATCCAAATATATGGAGAGATGATTGTTTAAAAAATTTTGCTCTAAATGACCTCAATGGGTTATCTTCAGCCATGAGAAAATTAAGGTAACATTATTTATGCTAGTCAGCGGAACTCTAGGTATAGGATGGTTGTCGTCTGGGTGACAACATCAGAGACGATTATTGACTCCCCAGTTGACAGTTGAGAGAGTCCACTTCCATCACATCTGCAGATTCCTAGCACTTCTATGCCATATCTCCTCATCTCCTTTGCAATCTGGGAAGCCCTGCCAGTTAGCTTCAAACATTGTACGGACATTCCATGTCCCCATGTTTAATTTCACTTTCATGGAGAGAAGAGAAGACACATCGGCCAATTGGCTTCCCGAAGATTTTCACCAACCGGGGTCATTCTGTCTCTCCGATTCCAGGGAGGAATAATTTTGTTTTTATGTTTTATATTTTGTCTGTGCTTTGAAGTTTCTTAAGTGGTTGGATTTGTTTTACGTGGTAGGGTTGCTAGCCCTTTGCCCAACCTTCCCTCTTTACCCGGGCTTAGGAGTGGCTGATAACTAGTGAACTAGTTAACTAGGGGAGGTTGGAATGGTCGTTGGTGCAACTGAATGAATTATCCGTAATGTTAGTCGTTTCCTCTTGTAATAAGCTTTCAGTTGGTCAATGAAACTGTATTAGTTCTTAACATCCACATTCTATCAGTGAAATGCTTCGGAAATCAACATGTCCGCTTGTAAACAAAAATGAAGCTATGATGTGACCTGCTTTCGAATTCACTGTTGATCTGATTCATACGGAAGTCTCATTTCATCAACTAAGAAAGTTCTCAATGGAATCCATGCATTTGCTGGATACAAAAAAATGTAGGAAGTGAACTCAAGATACTTTCTGAAGCCGTTAAGTATGATTGAAAGCGTTGCCAAAAATACCTGTTTTTTACCTTACGCGACAAATATTAAATACTTACACTGTATTTATACGCCAATTTACTGCTGTTATTTGATAACAACAAGAATTTCGATACGCTACCACTTCTTAGAACCATAGGAAATTAAATAAATGCTGTCTCTTTATCACCGCTGAAATAAAATGGTTTCCCCACTCTCATACTTCAACTTGACCAGCAAGTCCACTCTCAATAAAAAAGTTTCGAAGTGCAGAGTGCATGGTAGCAATTTCGTGGCAAACACGGAGATACATTGTAAAATTTACCCATATGAACGTGATTACTCAGTTAGTACCAGTTTTCGAAGACCACCTTAATGTTGGTCAGAACTATAAAGGCAGAGTAATCAGTTTCTCACTAACATTATCCTCAAAATTACAGCTAGTAGTTTATTCCTACAAGGATTTCAATACATCGATGAAAAGATTATGTATTGTGGAATGGAATAATATATTATAAGTACATTTCAAATGAAAAGTTTAGAGACAATGATAAGTTTTCATTTCAGCAAATTATTGAGAAAATATTCCGACTGTTGGTTCGACCACAGGCAGTACTTTTGTTCAAATTATTATCAAAATAAGAACTTATCATTATGTGCAAACTTCGATCAATAATTTTAAGATTTAGATTTCTCTGCAAACCTCGTTTGAAGTTATAAATTACACTCAACACATAATGATCTCGGCGACTACCAGGACGCGCCCTTCGTCCTACTCAGGACTCGTCAGCTGGGTGTAGCAGCACCCCAGTGAGTGATGTAGTTCCCACTGTGGGTCGAACTCAGTACCCATCGCTTAAACCGGTAGAGCGTCATCCACTAAGCTGAGTACTAAATCGAACAAAACGCCAGTCCTCGAGTCACCGAGATCAATGTTACATTATGAATCAGGAGTAGTATCAAGGTATCCAGATAGAACCCCTTCTACTTACAGAGGTCGTGCAATTCAGCCCTGTATAACAACTGGAAATTGCAATTATCATAACATAAACTGCACTCAATACATTTTGAAACAGGCTCCCTGAAACACTGTCACTATAGAATTAAATTCTCTACAAATTTTAAATTCATTTTGGATTTAATCTTAACCTGATGGAGATTAATTTCTTGAAACAGAATTTATGTGACAAGCGGTGATGATTTTATAAGCCAATCTAAATACAGATAGCTTATCCAAGCTCAACTAATCAGATTCCTACAAGTAAGTGTCCTAGTCCAATAGGAAAGTACCTTGGCCACACAAATACATTGACTTTCAAACAGAGGAATCAGCCAACCATTTTTCATTTCCAATTTCTTTAATATAATAGTAAAACTTGGGCACTGTAGTTGATTGTAATTCTACCCTAAATAAATTGTGGGGGGGGGGGAGGGGAAGGAGAAGTGTGTCGGGTAATAACCGTCAACCGTCATTCGAAGTGACATTAACGACCACTCGATCTGGTTTCAATAACTATTTGAAACAGAACATTGCCATTTTCTTGCATCTTTTTTAATGAAAATTCCCTGATTAATTGGTTTGAACTCTCCATTGTTATAAAATCTCTCGTACTGTTCACAGAAATTTAACTCAAATAACTAAACGCTATGGATATATTAACTATAGAACCTAAGGAGAAAGCTGTCAAAAAAACTAATCATGTTCATTAATTCGTTTTTATATTGTAATAGGAATCTTCAAAAAGTGTACAACTCTGCTTATGACTTGAAGCTATACAGTTTTATCAAAACGAAGGTTAAATGAATAGAAATAGCTGTCATTAATATTCTTTTCTCTCGTCATACAATTAGCTGGAAATGTAATGTTTTGATTAAAGTTTGGGGCTCTAGATGTGTGAATATCTCTGAGTATCAGCTGAAGTTAAGAAGTGTTATGATCTGACATTTTTATTGCTTTTAATTATGATTAGTCAGGTCTCATTAAACACAGGTTGGCTCTACACCCCCATTGCAATCAAGTCGATGGTAGATATTAGTTCTTTCCTGCTACAAAATCCCTAATACTAATTATTGTGAGTGATAAGCTATGAGTTGATGCTCATTAAAAAAACAGCAGAAGTTTTGACTTTCTATAAGCATAGACTAAACAGTCATTATTATCTACGATTATTAGATTAGTATGAAACTTCCAGTCTTCAATCTTCGTTCCGTTTTTCAGGCTTCGATTCATAGTAAGAAGCAAACGTCGTTAACATTGTTTACAGTGTTAAAAAAGAGATTGTTTGAGCATAGTTAGATATACAGAAGTAAGAATATATAAAAATAAACCAAGTACAAATAAATTCACACCGATTTACTTTCTAGAATTTTGACGGAAATAAAACGTGAATATATTTGTACCATTGTGATCTGATTTTAACGGTTTCAATTAAAGTTTCCAACGTGGGGTTCTCAACATTTTCGGGATCTCAACCGTGAAGTTCTAACCTTTAAGCCCAGCTCAGATCAAAAGTCAATGACTTCATGAATTAGTTTATGTCACGTTTTCCCCACCTAAACAGTGTCATTCGCCCACTTCAGTTACTGCAGGTTAATAACCTGAAGACTGACGTAACTTTCATGGCTAAAAGCACTTGCTAATCTTCAGCACTTCCCATTTTATGGTTTCACAGCATACGAGGAGTATTTTAAAGGCATCGATAGTCAAGCATCGTGTATTATTAAGTCACACTGTTACATTCATTCTGTATGGCATAAAAACGATAGTATAAAAAGCAGTATTATTCAAGTTTAAGACCTAACTTTAGTAACCTGTGCATCTTGTATTTGTTTTTTTTAATCAGACAACTTCTCTCCGCACAACAACATTATGACTGGGGTCTGAGAGCATTAAAATCTGTTTTACGTTGTTCTGGCACATTGTTGCATGCAAACAAACAGAGTTTTTCAAACGATGAAAAGGAGAAACAAAATCAAGAAAAGAAGTACCAACAAACTTATGAATATGAAGCCCTTCTTGTAATACAAGCAACTAAAACAAATACGCTAGCTAGGTTGACACATAATGATGCCATACGTTTTGAAAGACTGCTGAAAGATGTATTTCCTGATACTTCTTTGCATAGTTGGCCTTTCGAAAACCAGGAGATTTCAAGACTCATTGATTCATTACGTGCTGTAATGCAGGAGCAACATATGGTGTTAGTAGATGCTCAGGTATGATATTTTAATTCTTAGGATAAAAGCAGAATATTTTTATAGCTTGCCACTGAAGTCTTTTTGTATCTTTTGCATTAAAAATACACAGTCTGTAGAAGCAGAAGTCAAAATTCGGTTTGCTAGTAAAGTAATCTGAATAATCTTAGTTGTTGGTCTGGTTTAGATTTTTAGGAATTGATGTTTGAAGGTGGAGGAATATTTTGATAACTCAATATGGAAGTTCCCTTCTCAATCTTCTATAGACTAAGCTTTGAGACCCACTAGGCTTTAAATTTACTGCAATCCTGTGTTTTTCTAAATTGCCATTTGATTAAAGGAAAGTTTCATTACTCTTATTCTCGATCCTATGCAGGGTCGAAAGTAGGACCACCAGGGCCACTTTCCTCGGGTTCTATCAGTTCGTCTCGCAGGGCAAAAATCCTCTTTTATCATCAAGCTTCCATGCTCATTTCAAACCATGTTAACCAAAAAGATCACACTTCCCCATGACCACTGAGTTGCTCTTTCTTTAGCACCCTTTAGTAGTATGCACCTATGATTCTATGTAAGGGTGAGGTCAGAATTGTTGAGAGTAGGCATCGCCGATGAGCCTCAAAAAGAAACACAACAGCCATGCAGTTACCCCAGATTTTACGTAGCTCTATAACCATTGTCAGTTGTGATGAATGCTTTCTTGAAATCAATAAGTCCTTCACAAACCGAAAAATTGGAAATACGTAAGTGCCTGATTTTGTACCACTGTATATACTGTTATTCCATTCCTAATTCGATAAACATAAAATGTTCAAACCAGTCTTCACAAACTTTTTTGATGCGTTTAAGTAGAATCTCGGATTCACGTTATGATTTTATTCATAAAGTATATAAAAACGGCAAAGGAAGGAAGCTATGAACAAGTAAAAGCTAATTACAAAGACATCGATCAGACCATGGAACTCTTTTTGTTATTTCTGACCGTAGCTGTATAGTAGTTTAAAGTTATAGAAACCGCCGACAACGGTGAAATGTTGTTACCTAGCAACAGAACAGACTGAATTGTGAAGCAGAAGATAAAATTAATGTAGGATATAAAATAATAAACATAGCTTAGAAGTACTCTTTTTATCGAGATGAAGATGTGGAACATGAATGTTAAATGTGAAAGAACGAGGAAGCTTTGAATCAATAAAGTCAGGGTGTAAAAAAGTGGAATGGAAGTAGATTAGAAAAAAAATGATTTAAAAAAGGTCAGAGTTGTGAAACCAAAGCGAAGGTGGCAAAAGAGACTGAAAGGTTTTATACAAATTCATTTTACGATCCTCTTTGTGAATGGCCAGAGAGTAGGGAAACTTAATCATATTCCCTTTTAATAGCTGGTCTTTATCCCAATATATTACATCGAATGACCTGACAAGACAAACATGTTCCAAAATAGAATTATTTATTGGTTTGGATTACGTTTTCGATAACGATGCAGGTAAATGTTAGCAAGCATGTGTTGACAGTGTCCTGGTAGTATCGATTATATGCTTAGCTGATTATAAGCGCATTTAACAAATGGCCTTTATGCTTAATTATGTTTCTAGTTTGATGATAAAAATATTTTTCTTGAGGAATACTCGAGCAATCAGCTTATACTGCCAACAATGTGGATAATAAAACAAATAAGGTTGACTGTGTTTAGTAGATTAGACATAATTAATCAACAACTATCCTCCTGAATTTAAGGTATTATTCAGAGCAGGGAGAAAATGGGAAAAGGTTTAGGATAGCGGAGTCAAACATGACACTGACTGCCTTTGCAATTTACTTAGTTTTCTCATAAATCATGGTGCTTTTTCCTCCAAAACTGTAAGGGAAACATGTAATAGACAGTACAGAACATATAGACATATATATCTTTATTATATCTTATACTGATCTCGTTCATTAAAGGTTCAAAAAGCTATTGAATTGTATGAGCAATTATCACAACGCATTGGTGTTGTGTTAGTTGGACCATCTGGTTGTGGGAAGTCAACGGTCTTAAATATGTTGCGTTTGGCGTTGAATAAAGTGGGTGTATCAATACGTTCGCATATATTCAATCCTAAGGCAATGCTACGTGTACAGTTACTAGGTCAAATTGAACCAGACACAAGAGAATGGACAGATGGTGTACTAACACACAGTGTGAGATGTGTAGTAAAGGAAAGCATAGGTATGTTTTTCATTATAAGTTAAACTTTCTGTTGGGGGATATGCAGTTCTTAGAAGCTAACTACAGTTGCTCATATTTTGTAAACATTGTCTTTTATAATTTGAATTTCACACCATTTTCATTTTCTGTGCATCTCTTGTATTCACCGCTGCGGATGATAGCGTTTTTTACTGTTGATATGCTATTTACCTTTGCCAACCTGAAGAATGTTGTGACCGTATTCTAGCAGTCAAGCCAGAAAATCATTTCTGATGCTCTTCAGTGGAAGGGGATCTTCTTGATCCTCTAGTAGTTTTTCATCGTGTTGTAAGCTGCTGAAAGTTATCAAAGTTGTAATTCTTTTGTTGGTGGGAATAGTTTATGGATGAAGAATCTCGTACTACTGTAGCTCCTATCACTTTTACGATACCATCAGATGGAATATGTATTCACAAAAGCTTGAAGAATGGATCAGTTTGGGGGAGGTTGCACTGATAGAACTTTGATGGCCAACATAAAAATGTTTAACCAAATCGACTTAACATTTAGTTGAGACTTTTGCTTTCATAGTAAGTCCATTTTTATGAATTTGCAGGATATGATGAGAAGACGGAGTTCATCTGAGAAACGCCACATATTTTTGTAATACGTTTTTAACAATCTGATCTAAAATTTTCCTTTCACAGTAGTCTAAATAAAAACGGCAAGAAACAAAGGTATTAGATGCTAAATCAAAGTATGATGCTGGTGGCTTAATTGGTTTTCATATCTGCCTCGGTATCAAAATGAGATCAAGATTACCAAGGAAAAATTAAGATAAGAACGAGTTGACTTCAATATTTAAAGACTAGTTGAGTCTTCATCTAGCCAAATTTACAATAAACCTAAATATACGGTTTTGAAAGCTCCTAAATAGTAGTTCCGTCCTATGAAGTGTTTCTATAAGACTTCTTTCTATAGATAATTATATCTGTTTGTTGTTTGTATCATCGGTGTATTTGAATGCAGATATTTCACCAACCATTCGAGGTACTGATTCACCACTCTTGACAGCATACATCGACTACTCCTCCTAGTGTGTGGACGTGTCCATGGAAGAATGTAAATTAGCACTTCAAAGAGCTGTTGTTACTATGTACCTATAAGGTTCGCTTCACTTTTGGAAGTGAACACCATGGTGTTATTACGTTCTGTCAAATGAATGGTTTGGTTTTGAAGCCTCCATTTTCTTTCTAGACAACAACTTCAATATGAAATAAGTGTTGATGATGTTTGAAAAGACAATAGAAGCCTCATTATTTTATAATCCAGCTGAGAGGACGCAGCAACACTAAAACCATCCACCTGCACTAGGTATGCTTCAAAAGTGAACATTTTAGTCAAGATGATGGCGTCGTTATAAATAATCATTTGGGACTGTCATTAACTGATAGTGAAAGTTCATTCATCGGTGCAAAAATAATTCATCGTTAAGGTGAACTCATTATTCACTCCTTGAAAAAAACATTACTCTGTCAAATTGAATGACGTTGTTTTAAATTGAGAGCCTATATTATTTCTGAAAGAGCATATTACGCAGCTAAACTTATCTTCTTTGAGAAAACAAAAACTCATGCACCAACATAAACTTCAACTCTACATAAATGAAAATATAATGATAAAGTATTCAATAGGTATTTTACTAAATAGATCCTAGCGAATGTTCCGAGTCACACTCCGAAAATATAGTTGGTGATCTGAATACTAGGGTTTCTCTTCCCAAGAGATATGCCAATGATATGGTTCTATAAAATGATGGATCTACAGAAAGTCAACCTGGGTAGCTCAGTATACGAATTTTCAGTCACTGTCCTATGCTATACAAACGTAGTTTAATAAAATGCCTATTTGATGAGATGAATCTTATCTATGCATTCGCTACAACGGATGAAAATATCCGATGACTGAACGAAACACTTGTATAAAACGAATATCCATTGAAGTACTAAACCGTTGTAAAAGTTAGCTGAATCGAAAGCCTACTGTATACTCGGTCCTTAAGAAAATTGTTCACATCACTTCACCATACGATGGGGAGTTAAACTAGTGCTATTTGAAGATCCAGGCTAAGATCTGTCAAAGACCAAATATTATGCTGCTAATTTTACCACTCTTGACCAGACAAACATATGCTTCATCATGAGGCCCAACACTGTACAAACGATTACGTCGCATCCAACTTTGTTTACCAGCTGTTTTCAAATATTTTGTTCACTGACAAACTTAAAATAGTATCAGTAGGGTCTCAGTATATTGAAGGAAGAGAGAAGATACTGAACGTTTTGTTGAAGACTTCTAATTATTTGCCCTTTCTGGAAATATGTTTATCACTTCCCCTAGGTAGGACTTGAAATCTGTCATCCACAGTGCTATGGTAACCAATTTCTTACCGCTTCACTTCCAAAGGAGTCTTCAGAGTCGGATTTCTTCAACTTTCGGTCTTAATTCCACTAATAAAATGTTTTTGCACACTATGACCTCGAAATAACTGCTGACTACTTGGATATTTTTTAGTGAGAGTTAGTTAAGGTGTGTATTTCTTCCTATCTAGGACTCAACATCTAGCTGTATCTACACTTTTGTCGGTATTTCCAGTAGATTCGAACACAGCGCAGTCACCACCAGGGGCTGTACCTACACGTTTATATATTGCATGGATGTACCTACATTCATCGCTTTTCATCCATGTAAACCCAGTATGATACAAGCCAGGATTACCCAAGCTAAATTATGCTCCGTCAACACTGATGAGGTTTTATACACTAAATGCCTCCTCTGAAGGTAACCCTTTGAAAGCCAACATGGCAAACAGGTTGGCAAATCTTCTATTTTCTCTCGACAGAGTAAAACACTTTTCAGTTTTGATAATTTATCGCTTCTTAGATGGCTTTCAGCTATTTTTAATACGTTGTTTTGTAATACGAAAGCGTTATATTGTACTTGGGCTTTCTTTAACTTTGTCTTCACTATTGTGCCTATGAATATAGATAAGAAGTGTTGGATTATATCTGATGGCGATATTGACCCTGAATGGATTGAATCCTTGAATTCTGTATTGGATGATAATCACTTACTAACACTACCCAGCGGTGAACGTATACAATTTGGTACAAATGTGAATTTTATATTTGAAACACATGAATTAATCCATGCCAGTCCAGCAACTGTCTCTAGAATGGGTGTTGTATATGTTAGCGATGAAGCGACTGATCCACGTACACTTGTAGAAGCGTGGTTGATGCAACAACCGGAGAATGAACGAGATCAAGTGAAACTTTGATTGACCCAATATTTTATGAATGCTTGGAGTGGGTTTATCAAAAAGTAAGCCAATTTTTGTTTGAAATCCTTTTCGAGTGCAAAAATGACCAGAAATTTGCACAGATCATGAGTATTTTTGAATTATACGCATATGATTAACTATGAAGTAACGTTTCATTTTCCTATGAGTTCATACTGTAGATAGCCATGTATTTTCTCTTGAAGCAAGTGCATATATATTTAGGTTCATGAATCGATTCAATGAAGCATTGAAGTCAGTGTTATTTGGTAACTGCAGAGATGGCTTACTAAAAATACGGCAAATATTATTTTTTTTCAAATCATTTGAAAAATGTGTACCCATAATGCGTAGCTAGTTGTATTAGTTCTCAGTACCGTCAGTTCACATCTGAATGACTGAGGGAGATTGTGCTTATTTACCTAGTGGTAATTTCCGCAACCACATCTAACACTGACCTTGAACGTGATTAGTGTCGAGTATAATTGCCACGTCTCCAAAGCACAATTCACCCATGCAATCGGTCACAAAAATTACCCTTCCTCCCAAACTTGTTAAATAAAACACGAAGTCTGGTGATTTTTAGTCACAGATATTCTCAGTCAGAGTTATCCAAATTACCACTACCTGTTCACTACACAGTATAATTCATAAAAAAGAAACAACTGACTTTATACATAAAAAATAGCCTGAAACACGATGATTGATCTCACTTAACGTGCAATTATATTAAAACCATATTTCTTAAAGAAATATGAGAGTCAATAAAAAGCTCTCCAGCAAAATCATGCACTAACTTCATCATTTAAATTCTTAGTAGAATGTCTTTGGAAAGGAATGAAATTATACGACTGATTATACTTATCTGAAATTCATATTTTCTTTACTTCGGTAGGTATTATACTATTTGTGATAATACACTTCTAATTATATGTATAAAATAAGATCTCGAATTCATTATAATTAACTTAAGCTTTGAGTATTTTGAATTGGATTGGTGCCTAGTTTTCAAGTGAATCCTATTCTCATGTGAACTAAACGGAGTTTAAGTGATAAGGCAAGTAGCTTTTTTATGTTTGAGATTGCGTAAAAACCGATACTGATTGTGAGATAGTTGTTTATATTTATTTCTTGTTTTGACAGGATATGTAGCTCTGTAGGAATATACTAGTGTATCTTCCTTTAAGTATATACTTCAGTTATATGCATTTTAAAAGGAAAAAGTCTACGTAGTGAAACAATGGGTAAATTAAGCATTACCTGCGTTTAACACTGTTTTCAAAAACCGGTGATATCGACACAATTTTATCAACTATATCAACTGGCTAACGAGTCTCATATAGGACGAAACGTGCGTCGTGGATACTACCGGTAGCCACTATCCATCATTATTATTAAACATTTTTGGTTCAATAATTTACTTTGTTATGGTTATCCCTTGATGATGTCACAATATTTACCTGCTTCTGATAGTTTTGATGAACTCTTCTCATTTGAACACCTTTTTTTTAAAAAAGACATGGTATTTTCTTCCAAAAGTCGTTGGGGCCTTGAGAAACTCGTAATACTTATCACATTATTAATCTTTAGAAAAATCATTGTTCCTCAAAATTTCTATCAAAAACTACCTTGATTTCTTAACTAGCATTTTTAAATTTTGGAAAATAACCCAGAATTCGATGTTTGGTTCTATAAATTCCCACTTTCTATGAATGGATACACAATCACTTTTGGTGCTTAATCGTTATCAGCTTGAGTTGTTCTGTTTTGTTTATGGTAAGGGTATGAAATGGTCAAAAACAAACTATATTATATTTGTGAAATTTATGTGATTACTCGTTGGTCAATTTCGAATTTGGTTCCTTCAGTTTACTTTCAAATCATATCTAATTTGTAGAGTATTTTCATGAAATAAAAAGCACTTTACTGAGCTCTGATTTGCATTCATGATTTAGGAATACATAAGTTTAGATTTCATTGAATTCGTATCTATCCAGAGCTTTTGAAAATTCAAATAAACCATGACTGTATTAACAGTTTGCACAGGATCTGTACACACATTCTTTCATGGTTACACTTTGAATCTATCGGTTTATTTTGCCTTTCAATTAATTTATAAAAATGAATTCTTTGTAATACTCAGAATAAAGAATAATTCACCAGGTTATGTTCGAGGTAGCATTATTTCAACTTTGTTTTTCAGTAAAGATTACCTAAATATCATCAACTGAAACTTTTCTTTTTGTGCAAAAAAGAATTCGTCTTTAACTGTTTAGCTTTGTTATTGATCCACACTCCTTAGAAATTGCTTCAAGATGAAGTCAAGCATATGGGATTGGACAGTGTTAAAAGTAAGAAAGCCCTTGTAAAAGAAGGATTTGTGTAACTGTTATCGGAAAGCAAGAATCGTTGACAAAAAGAATTTGAATGAGGCAGTTACATACTAGACGTCTGTATTGCCGATATGTTTTCTTGTGTATTTCAGTTCAATTTAGTGCTCTTATTATTATTATTAGTCCCTTGGGTTCCTAGTGGAACATAGGGCTTCAGTTGCACGCCTCCAGTGACCTCTGTTCTCTGAGATCTTTTGAACCTGGTTCCACGACAGCCCACAAGCTCTCATTTCCTCCTCGCACGACCTCCTCCATGTCACCCTCGGACGTCCAACTCGTCGCTTCCCATGGGGATTCCACTCGAGGGCCCTGACGCGTGATGTCCTCAGTCGGCCTTCTCAGTGCATGCCCAATCCATCTCCACTTCTTCCTGCATATTTGTTGCGTGATAGGTTCTTGGTTGGTTCGTTCCCAGAGTTCCTTGTTGCTTATTCTTTCTGGCCATCTGATCTCCAGTAGCGAGCGTAAGCAGTTGTTGATGAATGTCTGTAGTTTATTGGAAATGCCTTTCGTGACGCGCCAAGTCTCTGAGCCATACAAGAGCACTGACTTGACGTTGGTGTTGAAAATCCGTATCTTGTTCCGCATGCTGAGTGCAGAAGATCTCCACACTGGTTTCAGGCTAATGAACGCCTGTCTTGCTTTTCCGATTCTGACTTTGACGTCCTCGTCCGTCCCGCCTGTAGTTGAAACAGTGCTTCCTAGATAAGTGAAGGAGGTTACTTCCTTTAAGTTTCTCCCGTTGACGGTGATTGGAGTTTGTTGTTGTTGTTGATGGTGGTGGTGCGGTATCTTCATCACTTCTGTCTTCTCTATATTCACCTGGAGTCCCGTCTTCGCTGCCTGCCTCTTCTATCAACTTGTTAGTTTATGCCTGCAGATCTTCAAGTTTGTGTGACATTAGGCACAAGTCATCGGCGAAATCCAAGTCTTCTAGGTTCTTTTCCGTCGTCCAGTGTATCCCCCTCTTCTCGCTGCCTACTGTTTGCTGCATGATCCAGTCCACCACAATAAGGAATATCATGGGGGATAGTAGGCAACCTTGTTTCACTCCTGTCTTCACTTCAAAGGCATCACTGAGCTTCCCATTGTGGATTACTTGGCATGTGGCATCTTCATATAGTTGTTGGATGAGGCGGATAAAGGTTTGCGGTACTCCGTAGTATTGAAGCAGTTTCCAAATTACTTCTCGGTCGACGCTGTCAAAGGCCTTCTCAAAGTCGATGAAGTTGAGGTAGAGAGCTGATTGCCATTCTATGCTCTGTTCTATGATGATGCGCAGCGTTGCAATTTGGTCTGCACATGATTTGTACTTCCTGAAGCCTGCCTGTTCCGGTCGCAGTTTTGAATCCAGTGCATCTTTAAGCCTCTCCAGGATGATGCGGCTTAATATTTTACTTGGGGTGGACAGGAGAGTGATTCCGCGCCAGTTCTTGCAAGCACTGAGGTCTCCCTTCTTCGGGAGTTTGACAAGGTAACTCTTCTTCCAATCGCCAGGTACCTTCTCTTCCTTCCACACCTTCTGCAATAGTGGTGTGAGCATGTCCGCTGTTGTCTCTGCATCTGTTCTCAGTGCTTCTGGCGGTATTCCATCTGGTCCTGCTGCTTTCCCGCATTTCAGTAGCTTTATGGCGTTCAGGACTTCCATTTCCGTTGGGGGATTAATGTTCACTTGTAGTTCAGCGGCTGCAGGTGGTATTTCTGGACGAAGTGCAGGTAGTGGTGGTGGTCGATTCAAGAGCTTCTTGAAGTGGTCGGCCCATCGTTTCCTCTGTGTCTCTTCTTTTGTAATTAAATTTCCTTCTTCATCTTTTATTGGTTTCATCTGTGTTGGTCTCTTCCCTGATAGCAACCTGGTTATTTGATACAATGTCGTCAGGTCTCTCTTACCTGCAGCCTGTTCTGCTTCACTTGCCAGTGTTTCGTAGAAGTGTCGTTTGTCTTTGCGTGCACTCTTCTTCACTTCTTTATCCAGTGTTTTATACATTGTGCTCAGTTCCTCTTGTCGTTGAGCATCCTTGCACTGCACTGGTTTATCTTCTGTTTCACCATCCTCCTCTCCTCTATCAGCCTCCAGGTATCCGTCGAGATCCATTCCTTGTCTTCTTTCTTCTTCCTTCCTAATACTGTTGTGCAGGTTTCTTTCCACATAGCTTTCAAAGACTTCCAGTGTTCTTCCACACAGGTTTCTTCAGGCATGTTCCTCGATATCTCCCATTTTGTCTTGATGGCTGACTGTCGTGAAGATCTCCTTTGTAGTTTCATCCTTCAGTTTCCGAGTGTTGTACTTGAATTGAGGTCTATCACCAGCTTCCTTGAAGGCTTTTAACTTGATTTGGAAGGTTCCTTGCACTAGATGGTGAGTGGTCTGAACCTACATCTGCTCCTCTTCTTGACCTTGTGTCAAGTAGACTGCGTCTCCATTTTCTTGAGATTGAGATAAAGTCGATTTGACTTTTAGTGTGTCCATCTGGTGAAATCCATGTCGCTTTGTGGATATCTTTGTGCCTGAACACACTGCCTCCAATCACCAAATCGTTGAATGCGCAGAATTCTGCAAACAATTCTCCATTCTCATTCATTTCACCTAGCGCCTCTCGACCCATGGTTAGTTTTCTTCCTGTGTTGTCCCCTCCCAGTTTGGCATTCATGTCGCCCATCAGAATGTTGATATCGCCAACTGACGTCTTGTCCAGTGTTGATTGAAGTTGTCTGTAGAAATCCTCCTTTTTCTCTTGCTCTGCATTATTTGTAGGTGCACAGTGTAGCATTGTATGATTGTGACTTTCCTTCCTTTTGAGTTGAATCTTGCTGTCATGATCCTGGAGGAGATTGGTTCCCACTGCATGAAAGCCTTCGATGCTTTTGAGGACATCATGATAGCCACTCCCTCAGTGTGCTCGTGGTTGTCGTCTGGGTGATAATGTTGGAGTAGATTATTGATTCTCCAGTTGACAGTTTGGAGAGTCCACTTCCATTCCATCTGCAGATTAATCACAGATTCCTAGCACTCCAAAGCTATCTATACCTTCTCATCTCCTTTGCAATCTGGGCTGCCTTACTGGGTTCAGACATCGTACGGACATTCCATGTCCCCACGTTTACTTTCGCTTTCATCGAGAGAAGACACATCGGCCAATTGGCTTCCCGAAGGCAGGCTTTCACCAACTGGCGTCATTTCACCTCTCCGATTCCAGCGGGGAATAAGTTTGTTTTCATTTTTTATATTTTGTTTGTGCTTTGAAGTTTCTTTAGCGGTTAGATTTGTTTTACGGGGTAGGGTTGCTAGCCCTATGCCCAACCTTCCCTGTTTACCCGGGCTTAGGACCGGCTAGTAACTAGTAAACTAGTTAACCAGGCGAGGTTATTTAGTGCTCTTATATACGCCAAATTTTAAAAAATAGTTCCACTAAAAATATCTTTAGGGTGAGAATTGTAAGTTATCTATAACTTCTCTATGGTCAGTCATATTTTAAAAATGTATCCAAACCGGCAAGAAGACTGGTTTAAAATCTGAGAAACTAACGAAGCAAACAATTACGTTGTATGACAAATCAACAGAGAAAATTTTCTCTTTGGTAAGTTCATTTGCTAAATACATATAATTACACTTAAAGCACTGGAAACAAGTAATGGTCTGCTATCAATCAATAAAGTCACCTGACTAATTTAATGTTCAAGAACATAATCAAAAGTTGATTTAAAAGAAGGGGAAAGATTACACAATGATCTCTTACTGATAAAATTATGATAAAAAGAGAGATTGAACGTACTTCTTCTACAAACAGAGATCCAGCTTAAATTGATGAATTTATGTTTCCATCGTTCACAAGACACGGAATTTCACTTCTCTTGAATTTTCTGCTATGACTTTTGTAGACAATCTCGAAGTAGCCAGAACTGATTAAGTGGTCATGGATTGAACTAATGGTTTATTTGCATTTTCCTGTTGACAGTCATGCGATATAATGGTCATATGTGTGTTTGGGAAGTGTGCGCTTTGTGCGATCATAGGAGCAAGTGAACGTGTAAACACACTGAGATAGCCAAAGCTGAAGGTTACAGGTAACACATTCAGGAGTTATTTGATGACTGGAAAAGGGTATCTGTAGCTTAGCAGCAGAAAATATTTTTCAGGATTTTAACTGCATATCGTCCTTAAAATTGGTATTCATAAATATCGTTCTTTTTGGAACTGTATATATCTGCCCGCTGACATGTACAGCTCATTAAATCTTATTCAATAACAACATTTTTCTGAAAGAATTGTTTACTGCGTTTGTCAAATTTTCACTACCACTGTTGCTTCGTGGACAGAACTGACTCAGTGTTTGTTAAAAGTCAAGTATTTTATTATGTATGCTGTACTATACAACAAACCTCATAATTTATTGGAAGACTTGACAAATTACTAAGATTTGTATACTGCAACATCTGAATGCCTCTACGATATTTACTGAATTTAAGAATTTTAAGTGACGAATATATCGTTATTCCTCAAATCTAGAAATTGTTCCGTATCAAATGTTTCTGATCGCTGGTCACACTTTGAAGTCCTGTATTAATACTACCTATTTGAGGATAACCAATCGGGAAGTTGTACAGAATTTGAAGACAACTTCTTCGTCCTCCAGTCTAATGAACAATGTGTATTAGATTATTTCCTGAAAACATTAGCACTAAAGTGTATGCAACATATATCTAACAATTTAGCCTGCTATCTGAGCTCGATCACATTTCTGTCCGATGCTTAACCAGTGTGAAAAGTCCACTCAGGTCAATCAAATTAACTACAGATGAAAGGCTTGTTACTCATCCTAATATTATATCAAAAATGATCCTTTTACTGGGAAATTAGTTTACAGTTCATAGAATTGCACATTTGTGTCTGAATTTACTTTGATTTATCTATAGGCTACTTTTATTTTCAGTCTTCACTCATTCTTTGACTTACAAGCATTTTATCTGGTATCTAACGTTTCTGGCTAGATAGCTCAATCAAAAACTTAGGAAATTTCACTGAACACATCAAGCATTCTATAGCAATAGTTTCTTGCGGTGATGCATAGTATTCATCAATTAATTTTGCTTATTCCATTTTGTCTTATTTATATAGAATGAATTTGTCATTGAAACTAGTCCTGCTGCTACCGTGTTTAATGGTCTTTCTCATTTGGTTGGAGCGGTTACACCAGCTTTATTTACCATTGGATTAATACGTGGACTTGGTGCAAACCTAACCGAGTCTGCACGCGCTGATTTCGCAGGCAAAGTTTATGAAGCTACCGGTGAAAACCCACCCGACGTAAACAGACCTTTAGATGTACAGGTAAGTAAAATCAGAGTATCAAATGAGACTAGATCCTTTTAATGACAATCCATGTATTGCTTCAAAGTTTGCTGGAGGAAGTCGACAATAACCTGTGTTTATCTTTAGCCCTACAGTCCGAAGTACATATTTTGTTCTACTTAAAGAATTCGCATTTAGGTGCATCATAGTCAAATTTAGGCTTTAACTCTAACATCACCTATCAAAGTCGTATGTTCAACATAATGTGTAATTGTCCATGGAAAAATAACGGATGTGACAGTTTGAACAAGTACCTTTCTGTATAAGACTCCAGGTTACCGTGTTTTTATATCTATCGTCATAATAACTTACCAAATAAAGCGACTTCATGGAAACCTGCAAAACCTGGCAGAATAGTGCGTGCATACTGCTGTGGAGTCCCATACTAGGACGAAACAGCTGTCCAATGCTCCTAGGATTTCAGTGGTTCTCCAAAGGATTTCTCTGTGTGGCAAAAAACCACCTAGGAATCAAACATAATGTTCTTAAATCGAGGTCATTTCATCAGTCAGTCATTTCAGACAATTTATTCAACCGCACGTATTCGTATTGAATTGTTTCTTTGGAGAGATGCAGATCTACTTTGCTTAACAATGCATTCTAGTACATCACTGCTACTGACTGAACGCAGGTGACAAAAAACTAAAAGAGAAGTACATTTCTTGGATTACTTGCAATTCATAGACATTCGTCTCATTTTGGTTCTAAATTGAGCCTAATTTTTTGTATATCTGAAACCAGTATACCGAATTTAGTTATACTATTTCTACAAATCTGAATCTCTAGATATACATAGCCTGGAATCTGATTTCATTACAGAATGTTCACCACAAACATTTTAAAAACTCTCCAGTGGCCACTCAGTAATATTTCAGGAATATTTCTAATTAATTTTAGAACATTTTTGTTTACTTCATTTTTGCTTTTACATACCTAGAGAGCTTCATTTCTATCATAAGTGAAACGTAGTGATGTAATTATAGAAACCAATGCTTTTGACGTTATATTTTAATGAATTATGTCCTGAGTGCCGAGAAAGGTGATTCATCACATTGCGTTGATTGACGTTTCTTTACTACTAACACAGACTTTAAAAATAGACAGAGAAATTATGTGGTTTGATACCCAGAGACATTCTATTTATGAATACAGGTAAGTAACATCACCATTGTTCATCACTCAAGAAAGCTAACAGAAAAGTAGTGCTCCTAGTGAGATACTGGCTTTATCTATCTGTTTCTGTGTAATCGTTAGCCCAGAATTGAATCATTCCACTGTTATTCCTTGAAGTGGTACTGTTAAACTAAATTCAATACAGTTTAAGGATAAAATGAGAACATTATTTTATGTTTTTAAATCTCAAACACTAACCCTTTTTTATATTTTAAAGGTGGATGCTAATAATCCAAACCGACTAATTACATATCCGAAAGGAACTAGTGTTGTATTACTAGGAAATTCGATACCAAGCTCCATGAGTCTGACTTCATGGTATTCTGAAATATCCTCAACCACGTGCTCTGAAGACCCGGCTATAGCGAATGCAATAGCTCATGGACTAGCTTCAGGTCATCCACCATTGGTTCTAACACCAGATATCAGACGATATATTGATGCGTTTCGTTGCTGGTTAAGTGAATCAAGATCAAGGCAGTCATTTTTATTAGTTGGTCCTGAAGGATGTGGTAAAAGGTGAGATTAGTTTCATTATATTTATTGCTGAATGACTGTTTGAATGTTATTCTGCTAACTACCACTACTTTGCAGATCTTAAAAGTTTCGCCAAGGATTCAGGTCTGAAGGTAGTCTTAGGATTATCAGACTTATTTGTCCACAAAGACGTTGCAGTCCGAAGGATTTTAGAGTTAATGTAGATTTTAACTGGCTTGCAACAATCTGAGAAGGTAGTTGACATTCAAGAAGCTTGGTACCCAACAGAGTATACTGAGAATGTGGCTATTAATTTAGTTCGTGATAGCTATCACACTGTTTTATAATGATGATGCATAACATCAGTATGACCTGATGTACAGATCATACTCCTACGGTTTCTTTCTTCGTGTTTGGATCTAATTAAATAGTTTTTAAAGAAGTAAATTTTGATACAGAATTGGATGGTATGCCTTACGCTTTATTTCATTTTGAACTGCAAATAATTTCATCATTTTGTACTTCACTATGCATACAATCATTTACTTCCATTTTTCTAACTTTTGAGCGTGAATAGTGAGCAGATGAACTGAAAGACTAGGTTTTGAATTTAACTTACTCTTGTTTAATGAGAGGAATTGAACACTTCCAGTTATTTTGATGGTTTTGTTGATATGAAACTATATTAAAAGCTGTAGGGAAACAAACATGTACACCAGAGTCAGGATCTTCAATAAAAGCGTCAAATTATCGCTACATTGCAATGTAGAAGCATAATGAACAGTGTGGTAACCACTAGTAGAGACCGAACTTTCACCAATCTATTCGACATAAGATTCTTCAGAAACACTACTTCGAAATGAGGGTCTGAGACAAAAAATCGTTAAAACACATGCGTATATTGAAATTTAGAAAAGATAATAAATGGATTGAGCACATGTGAGCCTTCAAGGAATATTCTGAAGGCAGGCCGTTATATGAAACCCTTAAAAAAAACTGAGATTGCTAAGAGAGATGACGTTGAAAATTAAATTTTAAAACCTCAATACTGTGCTCACCTTGATCCCGGTGAAAAATAGGTAGAAAGTAGAGACTACTCAGAGATCGTTGTACATGATCTGCGGTACATTCTAAGTTGCAGAGCATTACACTGAAGTAATTAGTTATTCACCTTGATTTATAGGTACCAGAACTCACTGTAACGGCTACACAAACATAATGAATTAGTTGGTTTATAATAAATCTTTTGTATTAGATGCTGAATATGCTTAATGCTCAGGTATGTTATGGTTACTTGTTGTGTAGTGACTAAGGTTACCCAAACTACCAATCGTAATGACTGTGTCATCTTAGGCATATCCTACACTTAATTCCTTTCATGAACGCAGTGAGAACAGTGGTGGAATAAGGTGTTAACACAGTATTTTATAAGGTTTTCTCTAAATGCATACAACCTGAATAATTACATAAATTAATAAACCAACAAATGAATGCTGTGCAGTTTTTACACTACTCAATAGATCGTGAAATATCAGTTCGTGTTCCACCTTTGTCGGATACATGTTATTTTTGTGGCCACTGTACAATTAGCTAAAATTTTGTCTGCAAATTTTATTTGGAGTATGGTGCCCCTCTGCCGTCTTAAATGATGTTTTCACCACATCCTTCTCTTAGCTAGCTGGAAAAAAGTTGAGTCGAAACGTCGACTGCACCATGCGGTGTTTCAGTGAATACTCTTCTCTACAGTAACACTCACGTTTAGTGCATAGATCATGACAGTTTGTCTTATGATGTACTTCGCATTCTATTATAAAGCAATGCTTGAGTCTGCATTGTTGAAATTCTTAAGTAGCATCTTTACTTGTCGAACATTGACACGCATAAAAATAATGAAATCATCTCAGGGATTTCTAGTAAAAACTATTTTGGAATTCGCTTCGCGAACAGTCTGCAAAAGCCCAGTTGTCAGCATGTAACATTATTTTCAAAGGAATTTCTTCTGAACTAAACTGAAAAAAACTGTTGGTTTAAGAAATTCTTGAAATAAAACTATACATATTGTCTCCTAAGATCAACACAAGATCACTCTTAATTTCTGCATGAGTTAGATTATGCCTTTAATGAATCTTCATTGGGATTATAAACACTACAGAATGACTCTTAAAACTTCATATTCAGTCTTCTTGGTTGATTGCTCAGAATTTCTACTCTTCTCAAATGATAATGGTATCCTAAGTTAGTAGCTATAAGTTATGAGTTAGAATGGGATGGTGGTGATCTTGAATCCCTTGAGCTGAGTGGTTCGGTGGTGCAGCTTTTATAACATCTTCAACCCATACTTTACAAAGATCACCATCGATAATCTATAAGACAAATTTGGTTTTGCAACATTATTTTTACAATAAAGTTCTACTGTGTACCTTATTCATTGTTTGATTATGTGCTGAATCATCGTATTCTGCTTTTGTTTTTTTCTTCTTCGTAGTCTCCTACTGGATTATTGTTTTGCTACATTATCGAAATCAGTTCATGTAGCTACTGTTCAATGTTCAGCACAGACTACACCTAATCAACTACTAGACAAATTATCACAATATTGCATAAGTGTGATAAGCACGACAGCGAATACCACTGGTGGACGTGTATTACGACCGAAAGAAGGTGATCGCCTCATCCTATACTTACGTGATCTTAATCTACCTAAACCCGATAAGTGGGGATCATGTCAACTAACAGCATTTTTACAACAAGTATGTTTCATACCGTTCTTAACTAGACTGGCTTGTTTCTATCGACGTGAAACTTTTGAACTACTCATTTACGTTTAGAAAACGTAGTAAACATCACCTTCGAAGAAGGTTTTACTTAAACTTGAAACTAAAGTGATTTCCAATGACCAGTGCCATTCTGCTTAAACCTTCTTGAGTTCAACCATTATTACGAAATAGAAATTTTCTCGGCAGATTACAAACTATTAGGTGCAAAGAAATTTTCTATACAGTTTTTGACTTCATAAGCTATGGATTTTTCCCTGTGATGTACAGCATAAGTTTTATCCATTAGCTATGAGCTTAAATATTTTCCCATTCTAGATGATCTGAGTTCTCTCAAGTGCCCCGAGGAAAACGTAAATTTATTGCTATATATGTGCTGATGTAAAACAGTAGGCATTATGTGAGCTTACCAATAAAGAATTTAAGTATCGGTACTTTTGGAATGAGCAGCTGCTTACATCTTCATACTCATATGTAATATAATATTAAGTAATCCTCTGTAAAATGCTTGTATACAACTGAAGCATGAATTCCCAAACTTACCCAACCTCAGTAAATTGTTGTTTTCATTCAACTTTCTTCCCCAAACATTTTGCTGATATTTTACTTAGTATCGGTGTGAAAGTTAACATTTCAACACTGGTATATTAATCATAGTTAGTGACTCGCAGTGACATACGCTTTTTGTTTTATTTCGGACTTGGTGACTAAATATACCTGCTTTCTAGTGATGCTGTTCCCAATCAGACTCCAACTCAGAAATCAAACTCACAAAGTAGGGCTACCTAAGTGTTTACAAGATCTGGCAAGGAATCATACATCTGTCCACCACAAGCAAAATATTAAGCCACATCATCCTGGAGCGACGAAAAATACGCTGCATTCAAAATTACAACCGAAACAAAGGGCACTGACTGCCTTCAGGAAGAACAAATCATGTACAGATCAAATTGCAACACCATGCTACGCGTCAGCATAGAACAGAGCATAGAATGGCAGTCAACTGGGTCTTTACCTCAACTTCATCAACTTTGGAAAAGCCTTCGACAGCGTCGACCGAGAAGTTATTTGACAGGCGGCTACCTCAACACTATGCTTTTAGTACCACAAGCCTTTTTCAATCTCATTCAACAGCTGTATGTTATATGATGCTACACGTCAAGTGATTCACAATGGGAAGCTCAGTGATGCTCTTGAAGTGAAGACAGGAGTGAGACAAAGCTGCCTACCACTAACGATGATCTTCCTGCTTGTGGCCGACTTGACTGGATTGGATCATGCAAGACTCTGTGTGGAGCGAGAAGATGGGTCTACGCTGTTTGACCGATGAAAAGAGCCCAGAAGAAGATTTGGATTTCACCGATGACGATGAGTTATGTCTAATGTCTTGTCGCACAAACTCGAAGATCTACAGGCGAAAACTGACAAGTTGGCAGAAGAGACAGGGCAACGAAGATGAAACTTCCTGCAGGTGAGTGTGGAGAAGACAAAGATGATGAAGATACCCAACCAACAACAACAACAACAACAAACACCAATCACCATCAACGGGAGAAACCCAAACGAAGTTGTCCCCTTCACCTACCTATCTAGGTAGGCAGCATCGTTTCAACTACAGGCGGCATAGGCACAGGCACAGATGAGGACATCAAAGCTAGAATCGGAAAAGCAAGACAGGCTTTCATTAATCTGAAACCAGTGTGGAGATCTACTCCACTCCACTCCACTCCACTCAGCATAAAGCGTGAACAGGATCCGGATTTTCAACATTAAGTCAGTCAAGTCAGTGCTTCTATATGGCTCAGAAACTTGGCGCGTCACGAAAAGCATTTCCAACGAACTACAAACATTCATGAACAGCTGCCGCATATGCACACTCGATGCTGAAGATCAGATGGATGGTCAGAAAGAATAAGCAAGGAGGAACTCTGACTGGCTGCCTGGGAACGAACCAAAGAAGCAAGAACCTATCGCCCAACAAATGTGCAGAAGACAGTGGAGATGGATTGGATTGGGCATACACTGAGAAGACCATCTGGGGAGATCATGTGTCAGGCCATCGAGTGGAATGCAAAGGGGAAACGACGAGTTGGGCGTCAGAGGTGAGGGTGTCATGGAGTAGATGGTGTGAGGAAGAAATGAAAGGTTGTGGGCAGTAGTGGAGTCAGGTTGAATAGACTGGAGAGAAGAGAGTGAAATGGAGACGTGCTACTGAAACCCTATATTCCATTAGTAACCGAAACGACTGGTAAATAAATATAATCTGGTGATACAGCTTGTAATTTCCTGTTTTTAACTGAACCAAATTTACCGGCTACTATTAGCCTAGTTGCTGCTGTGTGGATCCCTCGACATTACCGGATACTTCACTTCGGTAATAATCACGGATAAGTTGCTAAGAGTTGAATCCATGGCGTATGTTTTGTTCTAGTTGAGACTTCCACATTAAATTTTTCTGCTTCCTAGTGAGTGTTGTTCTCAGCGAAACTTTAATTGAGAACCTATTTTTTCGAATGCCGGAGCATCATACCTGTATTATCGGGGCATCCACACAGGAGTTCATAAAGCAATAATGACTGGTCAGTTCGGTCCAGTTAACGATAGTGAGTTAGAAGCTGCATCATCATACGAACACTTTCTTAACTTTATAAGAGGGAAAATAAAGATTATGAATTTACCTCCTTTAAAAAATAGCGAATCGGAAGATTTCTTCACCTTATAAAACCGTACAGTAGATGAGGAGTATTTCTCTAATTCATCATGGACTGACATCAGTTGAAGGAACATCGGAAACCTGGGAACACTCGATAGCTGTTTCGTCTTAGTGCGGGACTCCTCAGCAGTACCCAACCATGACCGCGCCATGCCTAGGATCGAACCCATGACCTCCAGGTTCTGTGGTCAGCACGTTATCACTGAGCCACTGGGTCGGAATCCAATGGTTTATATTTCATACTTCTATCTGTTCACGATATAACGTGACCTACATCCAATGTCATCGTTGAGTAACTATCCTCATGTCCGACTTGGTCGACTCCATTAGTCACAGCTTCTCATTGGAACTCTGGGAATCACCTCTTGAAACTAGTCACCAATGAGCGCTAATAATATAGGTAAGCTTTAATATAATCTCAGCGTGTTTAGAAAATCAAAAACAAGATTTTTTAAGCACAGTGGGATTACATTAAAACTTACCTATATAATGAATTGACCTGACTCGGTGCTCAACTTCTTTCAGGACATTCGTAACAATTATCGCCTGATTGTATATAATCTACTAATTGATTATTCTCTTTTAACCTTCTGCATAGATTCTTACATATCATGGATACTACGATCCATCTAGTTTAGAGTTTGTTGGAATTGGAGGAATTCAATTTGTTGGTAGTTTTACACCATCTACTACATGTGTAGGATTTGGACGTTATCCTCTCTCGAAACGATTTACTTCAGCTCTACGCTTAACAGTCATCAATTATCCAGAAAGTGATCAACTGGTTAATATTTACAGCTGTTTATTACAAGCCATCAGTATTTCCAAGTTGAATTGTAGCACTCAATTAGCTGATTCACAAAGTTTCTGCAGCACACGATCAGGGCATAATAATATTGATTTAAAATCAGCTTCACACAAATCGATTATTAACATAGCTAAATTACGTAATATGTCTACTATAATGGTTCAGTTACTACATGAGCTACAGCGTAGTTTTCGTACTGATGAATATGCTCACTGTGTTTTTACACCACATTCTTTGACTGCATGGGTAACAGGATTATTACGTTATGAACTGAGTAAATCAGCTAGTCATACATGGGCAGCATTCGGTTATGAAGCAAAACGTTTATTTCGTGACTGTGTACCAGGAGAAAAAGCTCGTCATCAGTTTGATATATTATTTACGAGAATACTGTACAACAACTTAAGTGGATCAGTAATGGGAATCGATGAGGATTTGTACAAGTTAAATGTAAAATCAAAATTATCCAATGAAAAATGTGATGAAATACAGATCGTATTGAAAATGGCCACTGAAAGTTTTGAATCATATGAAGACGACTTTTTGAATGAAGATAAATCGAGTCAGCTGGTCGGTGACAATGATGAGAACAATTTTACGAAGTCTATCGGTTGGTTTGTTACACTGGGTGGAAAACATTTACCAGCAGTTAGTCCAATACCGTTATATGGAAGACCACTTGAATTTTTAGCATATACACAAATAAAAGAAATAGCTTCAAAAGGATTGAGACAGTTAACCAGAGAAAAGTTACCTCAAGCAGAAAATCTAGTATTATTTCCAGATTTTATTGATTATTTATGTCGTATTGATCGTGTGCTCAGCCGTCCATCAGGTTCATTATTATTGGCCGGTCGTTCTGGCATTGGACGCAGGTCTGCATTGAATCTAGTAGCTCATCTACATCAGTTAAACACTTTTCGTTTGCATACCGGTCGAAATTATAATATTCGTCAGTTTATTACTGACATGAAAGCACCATGTCAGTCAGCAGGGATTGATAACCAGTCAACATTGTTAATCATTGAAGACTATCAATTGGCAAACAACTGCTTTTAGAAGTTGTTAACAATCTTTTAGCGTGTGGCGAAGCAGGCGGTTTAATGAATGCTGATGAGTTAGAGGCTCTTTCATCTAGTGCTGCGTCAAAAACTGGCGTCAATCTTAAAGAACAAGCAGCTGAAGCTGGACATCGTGGACCGTTAACTACTTTCTTTGCTAACCGTGTTCACAGAAATCTTCATTTTGCTATCATTCTTGATATAGATGATATTGATCTATTCAGTGATCGACTACAATCGAATCCTTCATTCTGTAAATATTGTTCTGTTCAATGGATGGACAGTTGGTCTAAAATTAGCTTACTTGAAATACCTAATCTACTGATACCAAAGTCCTGTATACCTAAAGCTAAGAATAGCTTTGCTCAGGCATGTGTTAACTTACATATTTCGGCACCATACCCTCATATGATGGTGCCTACTCCACGTCATTTTACTACTTTGTGCTCCACTTATTCTCGAGTTGAACAGAGTCATCGAAAGAAGTTAGAATCTGAAGCTGCTAGGCTAAGAAGTGGCTTGTCAACATTAAAAGAAGCACGTGAACGTGTTAGTGATCTGAAGAAGCATGCAACTGAACAAGGTGAACTACTAGGACAAAAGCAAGCTGAAGCTGATAAAGCATTAGAACAGATAAGTGCTGCAATACAGGTCAGTCAACTGTGATTTGTGTATTTCTAATGCATACATTGGAGTTGTATTCGTATAAAAGCATTTGTCGAAATTAATTACTGTGAATAAGTGTTAGGTTTATGATCTGTTCAGATGTTTATACATGAATGAATATGTATGAAGTTTCGATAAAACTGATAAGAATGCAACAGAATAGTTTAGTAGATTGCTACCTAAAAAATTTCAAACTGAAACCATCAGAAAGCATCTATTATTATAACCCGTCATTCCATCTGAGTGGTAGTTGCGATTAATCAACTAGCTGAATTAAAAGAAAAACCACTTAATTATCGGTTTTATGAGAAATTAGATTACCCCCTTTTTCGCAGATGTTATTACTAGTACCAATACTTTGATCAGTCTTATCAGATGAAAACATCAACAGAATGAAAAGTGTCTTGAACAATTTGAGCAAAAATCTGAAGAATTTTAGGAAGTTTTTCATACATGATCTGGCAAAATTTAGTAAAATGTCCGAGGGCTTTCAGTCAGTCAACATCAACTCGTGATCTGATGTTACTGTGTTATTGGTCAGAGCTTTTACTAGCCTAGCAACTGTTGAATACAATAGTGAGACTTAGCTCAAAATCTAAGCAAAGAAACCGATGTTATTAGCATGCATGGACTGAGCCAGCGTTGCGTTGGATATATTGAACTATTGTCTCTTCCATAGTGTAATAACGGTTGAAATTGAAGCCAATGGAAAAATCGAAGGGCGAACAGAGCAAGATATAGCACAAGCTGCATTATATCATTAGCTTTTGGTTGAAGTCATTCAGGCAAACAGAGGCTTTATGGCTTGACTTCTTCATCTTCTAAGCCAATGATCGTATGATTTTGATAGTATATGATAATTACTTTCCACTAATTCCTCAGCATCTAATCAGTGATTGTGTATTTATTCACTCTCAACTTATCCTTTTTTAAGTTTCTTTCTTTTTATAATATAGTGTATTTGTATGTCACTTACGCCTTCATAGACTTCTATGTGCTGATCCAAGTTTAACTGACTGAAGACTTCTGGATACTTTCCATAGGAATTTTATCGCAGGTTTATTTTAGTTGGAAAGAATAAACCTTTTCATCAAAACCCTTGAACTGTTGTGGTGCGATGGCTCAGACGTTTATGGAGATGACTGTTAACCAGTGGGTTGCAGGCTCGAGTCCCTCCCTCAGTTTGTTGGGGTTTAACCAGTCAACTAGTACACCAGCCTTCACACAATAGGTGTGGCTTATTGCTTAGTGCACGAATATGCACAGGGTAGTTGCATATATTTTTTTCTAGTCAACTGTTAGTATGAATAGAAAAACAATTCTCTGGTCAATTGCTTTGGATGAAACATAGACTCATAGCCTTTTACCAAAATTAAGAGTTACCTCAGGGTTTTTCCTCTCGTTGGTTGCCTGATTAAAAAGAAGAATATTCTATACATATTCTGGTTCTCATTCCAAGCCGTTGCAAATTGTGGTAACTTAGATGGCTATACTTTGACTAGACACTTTACAAACTTCTGTATGTTTGCTTCATGGGATTGAGTGACTTAGGTGTATTAATCAGTATGATTGGAATATTGTTGTCGTGTGGTTATTTGTTCTTTATTGGCTTACCACACTTCACTCTATTTGCATACCTCTAGTTTTTGAGAAAATCTTCTAACTCTTCATTCACCAAATTAACTGAGTATTCAATCACGACTGACATTAGTTTGGGAACCATTGAAAATCTGGGAGCACTGGACAGCTGTTTCGTCCTAGTATGGGACTCCTCGAAACTACGCACCCACTACCCTGCTAGGGGTCGGACTCAAGAACTTCAGCTTGACGATATGAGATAGTCGTGATTCGGCGGACTCTTATTAATGCTCAGTGATGATTGAAGATGAAATAAAAATTTTAGTCATGGTAGTATATAAAAACAGCCATATAATACTACTCAGTTGATCAAGTAAACAATACTGTTCTGCTGTGTGCTATATCAAATAACCTGCCTAATACAGAATGAGAAAAAGTTGATTTAATTCCTATCAACGGTTCTGATTAACTGTTGGTATATCACTTTCAGTATCCAGTGTTTGACAGTATTTATCCTACCATTATCCCCGCTGAAAATGTTATTCCAGTCATAGATGACAAACCGATCTGAATTTTGAGATTACATAATCAGTGAACATTCTTTGGAAATATGAGCTTGACATCGATTGTAGATCCTGAAAGAATGAAACATGTTGACACTATTTTCTACTTTTTGTAAGTATAAAACATGTCCACCATTATAGCATGCATTTTCAATTAGATTAAACATTCTTCCAACAAACAGAGAGAAGCTGCTTACAGTGGGGAATATAAATTTTAATAACTCAGCAATAGCTATCTGTACATGTCATTTATTGAGTGATAAACTGAAATAAAGCCACTTACGTCTTTCAAAATCTTCTTATATTTTATTTGTTAATTTGATGCGGCACACATTAATACAGTTATTCAATAGATAATGCTATATCACTGTTAGCTATATCAAATAAAATAATCCAATGTGTTTTTTTATATTTCTGGTGCTTTCTTTTAGTCCTTTGGTCAATTGGTATTTATTTTTAACACCAATATTCTTTTATATTTCCTTTTTAGGGTGCAGCTGAACAAAGAACAGAAATGGAAAGGTTACGTAATCAAACAGCAGATGAATCTAAGCATTTGGAATGTAGAAAACTGGCAATTGATTCAGAGTTAGCAGAAATCGAGCCATTAGTTCAACAAGCCAGAGCTGCAGTTGGAAGTATTAAATCAGAAGCTCTATCAGAAATTCGTGCACTTCGTGCACCACCAGATATTATTCGTGTTATACTAGAAGGTGTTCTGCTACTTATGGGTATACGTGATACATCATGGGTTAGTATGCGAGGCTTCTTGGCTAAAAGAGGAGTTCAAGAAGAAATTTTGAATTTCGATGCCAGAAACATTACACCAGATTTACGAGCTAGCGTCGAACAATTGTTAACTAAAAACCAAGAATCCTTTGAGCCTCGGGTAATACATGAATATGATTAGTAATCCCTAATTTTAATTTGATTTTACGGCTAAGGGTATCAGTATGAGGATTCACTATGTCTTTAGAAATGCACCTATAACTATTATCTATACTGAATGCCTGAGTTATGAGTTCTAATATTGTTTTTGAAGTGAAAAGTTTAAAAGAAATTAGTGCACATGAGTATTTGACTTGATGGTGACTAGGAGAAAAATATAGGAGGAGACTTTTACCCTACTTGAGACATATCAACTAGATTCGCCAACATCCCAGAAAGTGTTGATGTTTTCACTGGCAATTAAGTCCATTGCTACTACTAGGCTGCTGAGTCATAATGGTCATATTTTGTCTAATGATAGTTAGTTTTAAATCAACAAAAAACAAGAAAGCTCGAGAAATCGAACTACGATGTAACGTAAATTTGTTGGGTTCAGTAGAATGAATTGTGCTGACCATTAGTGTCATGAACTCATTCTTACTTGACACAATAATATGATATATTATCTTTATTTAGCCTTTTTCTACGGATTTTAGATTATACATGTGTGTTGTCATGGTATTTTGTTGACTTTCTCGTTTCCTATAAATTTGAACTATTTAAGATTTTGAATTTTATCCCTACAAATGAGAATTGACTTGAAATCCCATTATTTACCTTAATATTAACTAGTCTGTGAGGTTTCAACTCCCATTACTTGGTTCACAGTAAGTACATAAGACATATGTTCTGTATTTAGTTTAAGCTTAATGTCTAATAGGTGTACCAATGTAGGATTTCGCTCAGCCATAATTGTGTAGTCATCATGGAGTCCGTCTGTTGAAGTTTAATAACCTTATCTCATACTCTAATGTAATTTATCATACTTTTATCGGAAACTAAGTTTTAATTGCTTGTTAAAAATAACTAAATATAAGCCATGTCGCTTTTCTTCAAATCCCTCTTTAGGTTGCTAGACGTGCATCTGTTGCAGCTGCCCCATTGGCCACTTGGGTACGTGCTAACGTACAATATGCAAGTGTATTAGAACGTATAGCTCCATTAGAAGCAGAACATGCTAACCTCAAAACGTCATTACTTCAAGCTGAAAACTCATTAAGAAATTTAGCTAACGATTTGAGTAATGTAGACTCGAAGGTTGCTAAGTTACGTAGTGTTTTTGAAAAGCGTACAGCTGAGGCTGCAAATTTGAAAGTTGAACTAGATCGAGCTAGAGAAACTTTAATATCAGCTGAAACACTAGTTGGAGAATTAGAAAGTGAAGAAATACGTTGGGAGAACCAAGTAAGCAGAGATCATATTTATTCCATACTATTTATCATCTTTTCTAATGATCTCTTTTATGGCCATGAAACTAATATATTCTTTATTCTATACGGGAAAAACATTTATTGATATAGGTTTTATAAATGCATTAGGTAAACGTCTCTATGATATCACATAATCACGAAATATTCTGCAATTTACTGTCTACTGTCTTGATTTGAAATATTGACCAATAAGATTAGACTATTGAAGTCTCATTGAGTTTAGAACATAAATTAGCAATCAGTCATGAAGTTTTATAACGTTGATCTGTATAATGAGCAAACAAGAAAACTTTCTGAGATATCAGAATTAAATAGTTAAAAGCTAGAAATCAATGCAGTATATATTCCTTGTCTTTTTCTAATACCTCAGTGAAGTTTCTTCAGGGATTCTGTACCCTGGGTGGTACCTTATATGTTTAAAAAATAACCACTTGTCGAAAATGTCTTATTTCGGTTCATAGGAATGAGTATATGTGTACTGGAAGTATCAGCGCAGCCTAAACTTACGTTATCATTCTGAATAAAAGCTTCACTTAGTATATTCAGTTCTATAACTGCTGGAATGTGCACTAAATGTAGATCTTAACTGAAGACTCATGAAATAAATTTGAAACTTTTAGTTTAACTTAAACCTTTTTGAATCTAAACTGGATTCTTTATATAGGTAAGTTGTAATATAATCCCAGCGTGTTTAGAAAATCGAAACCAATATTTTTCAGAACATTTCGTTGTGTACGCCGCAGCTTCTTCAGCAGGACATTCGCAACAACTACGGCCTGGATGTTTGTAAACTGCGTTCTTTTCAGATGTCCACGTATGGTAACTTAGTGTATATTATATCAGACTACCAAAAGTTGTATCCGAAATTTGCTTAAACTAGTTTACCAATTTGAACTTATCAAAAACCTATTTTCTGTTAGTGAGAATATGAATTAGACTTCCGCCTCGCCTACTATAGATAGGATTTTTTTATACTTTCAAATATTCGTTATGAGACATAAATTGAAATAGGTTTCGGTGATAAATTTAGCGTGCTGTTACTCAGCGCTTGACTAAAGCATTATTTAATACATATTCACACAGCTGAGTTGGTCGACCAACTTCGCGTAACTAACAGTAACCTGACTCGAAACGTTGGTAGCTAATATAACAGTTATAGTAACTTTATTCCAAAAAATATTATTGGTACAGTATAGAATTCTCAGTATGTAATATTTCCGCAAATTTACTTCTTGTACAATATCTTCAAAGGAAATTACAGTATCTTGTTATCGAAGCAATAACACGTAACGACCAGCTATTGTTAAGCTATCGTCTATTTTGAAAAGGGGATGAGTAGAAAAGCTTGAGTGAGTTTGTTCAGCTAACACAAAGAAATATAGTTCTACGTAACTATTTCAGGAGTAGTTATTTGATGTATTGTGAAACGTTCAATGACTCATTGCCATCTATCGTGATGTTTTCACCCAATTTTATTGTTAACTCGCGAAACGGTGGACTGAAAACATTTATAAAATGCGTGACAGTACATTAGATATTATAATGATTACGATAAGTTCAAAGGAAGTAATTTTATGTATCATATTTAGTCGAAACATCTTGGCAGCTCAAAGTTTAAACAGACTACCGCATTGCAAGATATCAGAAGGCCTCAACTAATTTATTATATTAATTGTCCCTTGGGTTCCTATTGGGACATAGGGCTTCAGTAGCACGTCTCCATTTCACTCTCTTCTCTCCAGTCTTTCCGACCTGACTCCACTACTGCCCACAACCTTTCATTTCTTCCTCACACCATCTACTCCATGACACCCTCGCCTCTGACGCCCAACTCGTCGTTTCCCCTTTGCATTCCACTCGTGGCCTGACACATGATCTCCCCAGATGGTCTTCTCAGTGTATGCCCAATCCAATCCATCTCCACTGTCTTCTGCACATTTGTTGGGCGATAGGTTCTTGCTTCTTTGGTTCGTTCCCAGGCAGCCAGTCAGAGTTCCTCCTTGCTTATTCTTTCTGACCATCCATCTGATCTTCAGCATCGAGTGTGCATATGCGGCAGCTGTTCATGAATGTTTGTAGTTCGTTGGAAATGCTTTTCGTGACGCGCCAAGTTTCTGAGCCATATAGAAGCACTGACTTGACTGACTTAATGTTGAAAATCGGATCCTGTTCACGCTTTATGCTGAGTGGAGTGGAGTGAGTTTTCGGTGCTTCTGGAGGAATTCCATCCGGTATTGCTGCTTTCCCTGCTTTCACCAGCTTCATGGATTTCAGGACTTCTGCTTTTGTCGGAGAGCTTGTATTCACTGGTAATTCTGTGGCTGGGTTGCTGGTGGTATTTCTGGACAAGTTGCAGGTCTTGGAAGTGGTGGTCAATTCAAGAGTTTTCTGAACAGGTCAGTCCATCATTTCCTTTGTTTCTCCTCCTTGGTAAATAGGTTTCCATCACTGTCTCTCGTTATTTTCGTCTGAGTTGGTCTCAAGCCAGATAGTAACCTGGTTATTTGATACAGTGTTGTTACGTCTCTCCTACGAGAAGCCTGTTCTACTTCAATTGCCAGTGTGTCGTGGAAGTGTCTTTTGTCTTTCTGTGCACTCTTCTTCGCTTCTTTTTCCAGTGTAGTGTTTTATAGGTTGTGTTCAGTTCCTCTTTGCGTTATTCATCCTTGCGCTGATTTATCTTCTGATTCACCAGGTTTCTTTCCACATCTCTTTCGAAGAGTTCTAGTGTTCTTCCACACACGTCCCTTCAGGGATGCTGCTCATTGTCTCACATTTTTTCCTGATGACTGGCTGGCGTGAATATTTCCTTTGTAGTTTTGTCCTTCAGTTCACCTTCAACTGTGGTCCATCACCAACTTCTTTGAAGGCTTTCAGCTTGATTTGGAAGGTTCCTTGTGCTGGATAGTGAGTCGTGTGAACCTACATCTGCTCCTCTTCTTCATCTTGTGTTCAGTAGACTGGCTGCATCTCCACTTTCTTCAAATTGAGATGAAGTCGATCTGATTTTTAGTGTAGTGTGTCCTGGTGTCTGGTAAAATCAAATCCATGTCGCTCTGTGGATATCCTTGTGCTTGTATACAGTGCCTCCGATCACCAAATCGTTTAATGCGCAGAAGTCTGCAAACAGTTCTCCATTCTCATTCATTTCACCGACAGCCTCTCTACCCCTGATTGCTTCTCTTCCTGTGTTGTCCGCTCGAGTTTGGCATTCATGTCACCCCACCCATTAAAATTTTGATGTGGCTAGCTGGGTTGGGGTCTTGTCCAGTACTGATTGCAGTTGTCTGTAGAATTCCTCCTTTTCCTCTTCATCTGCATTATTTGTGGGTGTGTAGCCTAACATTGTATGATTGTGAATTTCCTTCCTTTTGAGTTGAATCTTGTTGTCATGATCCTGATGCTGGAGGAGATTGGTTTCCGTTGCCTGAGAGCCTTTGATGCTGTGTGAGGACATCATGATAGCCACTCCACAACTGAGTGTGCTCGTGGTTGTCGTTTGGATGAAAATGTCGGAGTAGATTATTGACTCTCCTCTCCAGTTGACAGTTGAGAGTCCACTCCCATTCCATCTGCTTTCGCGAATTCCTAGCACTTCCATGCTATACCTTCTCATCTCCTTTGCAATCTGGGCAGCCTTGCTAGGTTCAAATATAGTGTGGACATTCCATGTCCCCATGTTTACTTTCGCTTTCATCGTGGGAAAGAAGACATATCGGCCAATTAGCTTCCCGAAGACTTTCACCAACCGGTGTCATTCTGTCTCCCCTATTCCAGCTAGGAATAAGTTTATTTAAATTTTGTATATTTTCTCTGTGCTTTGAAGTTTCTGTAGCGGTTGGATTGGTTTTACGGGGTAGAGTTGCTAGCCCTATGCCCAACCTTCCCTCCTTATCCGGGCATAGGACTGGCTAGTAACTAGTGAACTAGTTAACGAGGCGAGGTTGGCCTCAACTAAACTAGCCAATCATTTGCAGACAATATCTGACACAAAATAAACAGGATTAGATGTTATTTTACAATTAATCAACTCAACCATTAGTTATTCGATGGTTATTGACCATTTAGTGCACCTAAAACTTAAGACAGTGATTTGAAGTTGTGATTTATGTGTCAGTCAATATAAACTAACGAACTATGAACAACACTTTTAGCTTACTTAACTATTGCACTCAAGAAATTTTCCGAACAATCACCTATGCTACAACTGGAATGTTGTCGCAGCCTAAACGATAAATTTATTCGGTTAAAAGTATTCATCTCTAATGTCTGTTCACATGACTTTGTTTGTTTCAAGTTGTGTGAAAATCAACATCACCTCTTAGTGAGCGATGCAGTAATACCACGATGTTGTTCTCATGGCCTTACCATCATATTTTGCTAAACAGATGGTTCGTATTATTACTACTAAGGAATTTTTTCAAACTGATTACCTTGAAAGTTTTCTAACGAAGTCAGTGTTTAATATTTGTGTAATCGTTTGAGATTGTCTTTTCGTCATTTCCCTCCATCGATTCATGATTGGTGTATTTTATTGTTGTTGTTTGATTACAAAGATGTTTTTAGGTGAAAATATATGATTCCAAGAGAGAATCCTTTGTGTTTAATGTGTACATCTAAAAATTATTCTTAAGAGATGATATCCTTTTATGACTTGATAAATTTTTCAGAATTATAGTGTCAACAGAAATTTCCATTTTTCTCATTACTGAAGTGCATACTATATTGATTTTTATCTTTGTTTCTTCTTCTATAGATTTATGAATTAACTATACAGCTGAATAGTCTTGCCCGTTTGCACTTCTAGCCTCTGGTTTCATAACCTATCTGTCAGCCTGTCCTGAAGATATTCGCCGCCAACAAATTTCAAACTGGATTAAAGATTTAATCAGTCTTGGAATGATGTCATCATCATCTAACGAATCAGATGACAATGATACAGTAACACAGGGAAAACAGAATTTCGATTTACGTCGATTTTTGTCGACTGAACGTGAACAACTAATATGGTATAGTCAAGGTCTACCATCAGATCAGTTATCAGGAGAAAATGCTGTAACAGTTGTTCATGTAAGAAAACTCCTTTTGTAAAAAGAACACCACTACCATACTACTGTCATTTTTTTATTCTGTTTAGTTATATGATGTAATGCTATTCAAAATATCAATGAAACATATGCTCACTGTCTTAACTCTTGGTACAATTGCCCTACCGTCTTATGAATGCCACCACAACTGTTCGCAGTCTTACAACGAAAAGATACAAAGAAACTTTTTTCAAACATAATTGTTGATGATGTACACCCTATCAGTCTTTTTGATATTTTACAGAGAAACTCTCTCCAGCGTTTTTCGCATATCATCAGTTAGAAGAGTTTGTTAAAGAGGGTGTCTATGAAAAGTTTATTGACTTTATGTATACTTTGAATGAAGATTCATGGGGTGGAGCCAAGAAGTAAAAGATCTATTCTCGGTATTGCACGAAAGCAGAGAAGTTGCACGTGGCTATTTACTCACTTCATTCTCCTCATACTTACTGAATACGAAAATTTTACAGGTAATTTTAGGGGTGGGGGTGAAGTAAGATTAGTTAACAGTTTTGTCAGATTCAGAACCGCACTTCTCATCCATCTTATACATTTGTTTTGTGATGTTGTAGAATAAGATCTGTTGTGCGTAGTTGGTTAGTAATTTCTTCTGTGCTCATGCCATTTGACATTTCAGCATTGCAGACTAGGTTGATCTGTACACAGCAATAGCTAAAGTGGCTTACAGTCCGGTTCACTCTCGATGTTGATGTTGTTATATTAGTAGCTTTAGCTTCAAGAAATTAGTTTGTCAATCCATGATTTCGTGTAGTTTTGCCTAGCATCTGTGATAACCGGACCACTTGAAATAAGGATCCAGTCATCAATACCTTTACAATGTTGTTCATTTCTGTATAAGTATTGCACAAATTGCTAAGGCAAGCATTTAATTATTTATTTACAATGCGAGACGAACTCTGGCTAAGCAGATACTTTTTCCACATACTTCTTGGTACTTTATATATACGGTTTTCCTTATATTTCTGAAAGGGCTTTAAAAACCTCGTGACAAACTTACTGCATTTCTTGCTGTCATACAGGGAATGGTATTTTCTTTCGTTGCAATTCTTTGGGTTGCTGCCACGATGTCATGCGACTCTTTGATAGACTTTAACTGGCTTGGCATTTCGACTGTTAGCTTTGCATGGATATTTAACGCTCCATTTTGCCTAAGTCACTTGGGGAGTATGTGTGGACTTATGATGAACCTGAATGATTAACCTTTTGCCTCTAATTTCTTCAAAGAGACATGCAACTGTGAGTTGACTCCGTCTGTTGGATGGCAGTAAGTTGAAGTTGCTTCGTTTTGTGAAGCTCTAATGTACTGGTGACCATGTTTAGTGTGATGGTGAGACACTTGCTAAATGAAACCACAGCCCATAGAACAACTCACGCCAAACATCCACACTCTAAGTAGCAAAAATTCGCAACAACTCTTAGCTGTGAAATCAAATACCTTGGTATTTGGAACATTTCACCAAGTTGTTTTCATAAGTTTTTCATTTTTCAACCTGGATTACTACAAACTTTTACACTTGTGATTATCTGAAGTAAAGTGGTAATGGTTCCTTCAGTAATCCGTATGTGGTCTTCTTACCGCTTTTGTCCAATATGGAATGCCACACTCTCAGTTAAGTTAAATTATATTCTCCCTGATGTTCAGTCAGTTATTAATCAGAAGTCAACTTATATACTCCACAGTCAGTTGTAGCCCAGATAGTTTTTAACCGGAAATGATACCAGTAGAAATATTAGAGGAGAACCGGTATTCCGACAGATGTGGATAGGTATCGGCTTGTCGGTATCAGTGCATACAAGACATGAATTTGCATGGCTTCACATTCATTAGTAATACATGCATTCGCTTCTAAATGGCAGTTTAATAATTAAAAAGACGTCCCAACAGTAAGTAGTCAAAATATAATTCACCAGTTACCAAATATAACTTTATGTAGCTGTCTGTGAGGGACTTGACTGAGGGACCGTTTCGTTGTCTTGATGGACAGATCAAGATTTGAACTTGTAACCTACTAGTTAGAAGAGTGCTTAAATCAAAACACCCGGAAAAGGGAATATCTGTATTGCATATCATTCATTGTTTGTATCTTTTTTATTAATTTCAGACTGAAAGGTGTCCATTTATAGTTGATCCTTCGTCAAGAGCATTGAATTGGCTGAAAACACATCTTAAGGATCAGCGTTTAGAAGTGATCACTCCACAGGTATGATATTTGAAAATATGTTTTAGTTAGCAGAAACTGTTTACATTGTGAAATTTATTTTACTTCTTTCCTAACCATCTAGTTCATACCCATCACTTTTATTTATGTTCAAATTGAACAGTTTATAATTGTGGACTTTATTCAATTAAAATATCGCTTTTAACCATATTGGCTCACAGATGTCAATTCAATCTAGACCATTTGGTCGATGTAACAGTTTACTTCTGTTTGTAGTAGTTGTTACTCGTATAACTCACATGTTTGAAAATTATATTATGCTTGATTCAATTGAGTGAAGGATTTTTGTAAAGTACCACAATTGGAAAAGATACAACAATGTGAAAGTTTTAACTGGTTGAATCCATTAACTACTTTACTATCGATGATTATACAGTAGTTTGAGTTATAATTATTTGCAATACCGTGTACATTTTGAGTTTTATACTTTATTTATTTAATGCTTGTAGTTACTGGAGCTGAACGTCTTGCTTTCACCAACCAATAAACTTTATGTGTGTTATTAGAATAATTGATAGTTGTCACTGCCAGCCACTACCTTCATCAAATGCTGCATTCTTCTCTTCAGGGAGTTTAACACGGAAAGATACATAGACAATTATTACTGTTAAATTACTATCGATGGTTGTTTAAGCTTTTTACAATTCATTGTTCACTTTCAAACTGCCAATCTTAAATATATGTATCACATCAGATGAAATATCTCTCAGTAAAGCATTTTCAACAAAATTTGTCATTAATTATCGAATTTGTCTTAGGCACTGTCAAAATCTGATCTTTAAGTTAGGAGTTTTTATTCAGCAGTTGTGACCAATGAATACACTTCATATTGCCATTTAATTATGTCCATATAGTACTTTTTATAAGAACCATGATTGAGATTTGACCAAATGGTATCGCAAATATTGGGCTCTGAGTTAAAGGTTGGCACTACTTTACTTACTGAGGTGCAGGCACGTTCACCTGACGGGTCCTAAGTACGACCAAACGTCCGTCCTGGATTCCTCTGCTAGTCACTAAGATCAGTATCACATTGCATGTAGTTTATATTTGTGTAAGTCACAGACTATTTGAAATAGAATTCCAACGTTTCGCACAGAAGTTTGGTCCCAGCTTCTTTAGGGAAACAATCAAAAATCAAAATATCTAAGATGTATAAATGAATCCAAAGGCCTGTATTTCATCTTCTTGTCCAACCCTCTTCGTATAATCATGATCTTTCTGAAATATGATTACTAATCATTCAGTATGGAACTGTATTTGTGTATGTGTGTTGTTATCCATATTCTCCTTGATTGTGAATACGAGACGAAAAGGAAACCGGTTACATTTTAGTTATTCGATAGTTTTATAACTACTGGACTTTTGCGGAACCAGGGTTCTACAAAACGATTTTCGGGTCAAACCAAGAAAGATTAACAGCCGAAGCCCTATATTTGTGGGTAAATCCAGATAGTTTGAACGGATGAGGTGCAGTAGAGTTAGCTGCCTCATGGCAATTACTAATTAGTAAGCGGAAAGAGTGACTCTAGCGTTTGCCATCAACACCAGTCTCAACTTCATTTTCTCTGCATCAACAATATCACACAATCTGGATTGGTTTGATTCATTATTATTATCGTCATCATCATCAGCATCATTACTACCATTCATGTCCACTGTATGCCGACAGATCAATGGAAAATTCATTAGCATTATTCACTTCTATACAAAATAAGTCATATGCTTTACTGTGCTAATAAAATTGCCGAATGACTAAAATGTAACCGGTTTCCTTTTCGTCTCGTATTCACAATCAAGGAGAATATAGATAACAACACACATACACAAATACAGTTCCATACTGAATGATTAGTAATCATATTTCAGAAAGATCATGATTATACGAAGAGAGTTGGACAAGAAGATGAAATACAGGCCTTTGGATTCATTTATACATCTTAGATATTTTGATTTTTGATTGTTTCCCTAAAGAAGCTGGGACCAAACTTCTGTGCGAAACGTTGGAATTCTATTTCAAATAGTCTGTGACTTACACAAATATAAACTACATCTAGTGGTCTCTTTTAGTTAAAATGTTCTTTTCCTACATGCAGTAGTTCTTTTAAAGGCAATGTATATGTGCAGAGACTCATTTTTCGATTTTCAATTTGAACAAAATAAAAAAATTAAACCGTTCTTCAAAATGTCTTTGACATTTTTGGAAGTATTCATTTCTTTGTCTTTTCTATTCAAAAAGACAATTTCTAAAGTATAAATTATTAAAATGTATCATTAGATATAGATTGTATTTAAAATCAAATAATTCTAATGTTTCGCACGGAAGTCTATATCTAAGGTCAACTTTTTACTCTGTGCCAAATAGTTGTCATACTATCCGATCAAATCTTGATCATTGTTCAGACTTTATTATTATTTTGTTATTATTATTGTTATTATTTTGTTCTAGAGGGGCAAATTTTGCTGTTTTTCAGAAAAGGTCATTTTTTTTAGTTCATTGATTTGTTTGACTTAATTGTATGGGAATAAAGTTAATCACTTTAGGTTACATCATGTCTTCCTTTCGATTGAATAAGTTTTGATCGCATTTATTTATTTAGTTGTTTTTTAATCATTTATGGACATATATATTTTCTTAATTGTTCAACAATAACCTTTCCCTGAATTGTTGTTAATTTGACAGCATTTCCTTAAATCTAGAATTGTAGACCTAGCCATATATATGTATGCAGCTGATAAATACCGTTATTTGATTCTGCAAATCTGTCCCATTTTCCTTTAAGTGGTACCAAAGTAGAGAAAGGTGTGTAAGAAGAGAAAATTTAAAGATTGAGGTTAGTCGAAATATTCGAGATCTAGAAGACATCAAAGTATGAATACTTCTAATGCGTTGTGACCGATTTTCAACCATATCACAAGAGTCCTTAATCACTGATACTTGTAAAGGGAATGAAATGCATCAAATTAACGGTACCAGTTGCGTCTGTTGTATGAGGCTTGCTACACCTATAATAACAACTACTACTCACACTACTACTACTACACCAGTATTACCTACACATATCGGTCTTTTTCTGTTACAGTGAAGTTTGTAAGAGAATAAAACTTATCGATACGTTTTTACTGCTTGTTTGCTGACTTCGAAATTACAGTAAATATTAAAATTATGTTTCTTTAAAAGACTGTCATTGTTCCTTTTTCATATAACAAAATTGTGAGCTGCAAAACATTATTGTATTTGACTGATATTACAGGATTCGTCTACCGTCAAAATAATACTCACGGAAAAGGAAGCAAAAGTAAGGGATACATGTTAGGATCTTGTTCAGGTTGAATGCAAAGGTTATCTATTAATGTACTGGTAAGTTTAGAAAAACCCATTTACATAAAAATAATAATAATAGTCTTAGTAAAACCAGCGGTTTATAGATCAAACGATTGTCTCAATATAACTACGAGATCCCATTGCTTACCAGGTTTTTATTGATTCTCTGTCACCAAGATCTGCACTAATAGGTCATGTAAATATGTGACAAACAACTGTTCATACTACCTCTAAGTCTACTTGAAAAGTAAAACTGACCTCTTGATGATTATTTCAACTTTTATAATAATAATATTTCAACTTAGAGCGTAAGTGGATAATGGTACCACTTGATACATTCCAGAAGTCCTTAGTATTTATTAATAAGAAATCCTAAAAAACTTCTTGTAACACTAATTTTCCGGTTGGCATTCATCAAGGACTGATGTCATTTGGGGAAAACTAGGAGCACTGAACAGCTTCTTCTTCCTAGTATGAGACTCCTCGGCAGTGCGCACTTATAACCCCGCCAGGGGTCGAACCCAGGACCCTCAGGTTCCGCTGCCAGTGCGTCAGCATTGAACCACTTAGTCGGAATCCAGAGCGGCCTGCATCCAGTGGTGTCGCTAAGTAAGTGTCTTCATGTTTGACTCGGTTGGCCACACTAATCGTGGGTGCTCACTGCTGAGGAGTCCCATGCTAGAACGAAACAGCCTGCTGGTTCTCCCAGGTTTCCAATGTTTCTCCAACTGATGTCACCTCATGATGAATACCAATATGAAATTGATAAGTAAATTCCCACTAACCTCAAAACTGAATTACACTAATTTCCTCTTTCTTATTCTTTTTCAGAGTCCTAACTTTGTTACCACATTAGAACTAGCTGTAAGATTCGGAAAGTGTCTAATTATACAAGAAGTTGATGAAATTGAGCCCATCCTTATGCCACTTTTATCAAAAGATTTAATTTTACAAGGTAGGTAAATAACAAGTTTTTATTTTAGTTTTATCGTATTCATTCAGTTTCTCAGAATTAATGATTCGTATATTATGTTTCATAAGTGAAAGGCTACATTATCTGACCTTGATTCATGGTTAAATATTTCAATTTAAGCATAACATTGGCTAAGTTATTCAGAACTTTTCTCAGGTCCTGTGTATTTCTTATTCAGTTCGGTAAGAGTAGCTGTGACTTCTTGCTAGAAATTCGGTTTTTCCACCGGATAAACCCAAGGTGATGCTGATACTGTTCAGGTTTAAATTCAGTCATATCAGTTAGAATGAAAGTATGTTGAAGATTTGCAGCATTAAAATGTAATATTTTGGTCAGCTGAGTGGTTTATAGCCAGTCAGTCAACCCAAAGATTATTTTATTCGTAGACTGACACCAGCTAGAAAACACCAAGAAGCACTAGGCAAATGTTTCATCCTAGTTTAAGACTATGGAGAAGTGATTAACGTTGACTCCATATGGTGCTGGACTCGGGATTTTCAAGTCTTCAGTTATACGGCATATACATATTTACCTGCTTCAGATTACTTGAGCAGTAGTATAACAAATAAAATTTCACACAGTTTCCTTGTGTTATATAAGTTGTGTAAAAATAATCAACATCCCAATTTCATCAAATAGCTTCTCATTATCTTTCGTAACTACTACCAGTCATTAAGATGTATGTTACTCCTCTTTTTAATATTCGTTACCTTGTTTTTATTCTATAGTTCCAAAAGAAGTTAAACCCTCCTGAGGTCTAAATTTATTATTTTATCGTCAGTGAGCCTTGCCCTAACATGAAGCTGTAAAGTGTATTGTCCTAGCTCTTACTGCATTTCATACATACGATGAAATTTCTCTGCTATTGATGCCAGTGTTGGATGTAGGTAAGAAAATTACATTAGCCGATGACATTGTAGAGTTTCACTGGTTAAAGTAACTAAAGTTCGTAATATTTCTACTCATCCATCTACCCCGACACACTGTAATAATCATGGTAGGACAGATCGGATAAAGTTGAAGGTTGCTAAAACAACACATGATACTATTCCCTGAAGTTATAGGCTTTTGGTTTCATCTTTGTGTTTACTATCTGACTAAGGTATTTAAAACAACTGATAATGAAGTTCGGAGACCCTGTGTGATATGATATATGGTGGATCAGGTTATTGTGAATGCATGCATACCTCATTATCATCAAGTCCTGTAAACCGAATTAATATGCTCCTTTGCTACCTTCATTATATATCCTAGTCTTCTAGTTTATTCCCGACCACTGGTATTATTATTTCCCCTCATTATTTTCCGTTATTAGTTCTCCCTTATTTTATTGTATTTAGTTCCAGCAACTAGAACTGACACAGCGTCATATCAAATTTTATACTATAAATGCTCTGATAACTGAGTGTTTTCTTCACAGGTATCAATGAAAGGCTTTTGTTTTGTGTTGTCTCACGTCAAAAACTTAAAAATGCATCTTTATGTTCATTAACTACATTAGTTTTATCCTTTAAGTGACTGAGTGTAATAAGAAGTTGAAGCAACACTGAACATAATTAGATGCTTGGGCTGAATGTCTTTTATAACCCCAGTTACCGCTTGTTACATCTTGTAGTGACTACTTGATATAACCTAACTTATAAATATGATGCATGTTTGTCGAATAAAGTCGTCTATGCCGTTAGAAGTCAGTCTTTGTCGCCTGGTATTTTTGCGGCTCAGTGAACAGTCATTGTAGTATTGTTATAATGTCCAGAAAGATTGACAAAATCTTCATAAGAAACCGTAAATGCGTAATGCCTTTTACAATCAATCGTATTTTGCATATATTTGCACCTTCGTTATCTTACCGTCTTTTTCCACTTATCGAGGAAACCAAGCAACCATCAAGGGGTAGAATCTGAAGGTTATATATATATATATATATATATATATATATATATATATATATATATATATATATATATATATATATTCAAAATTGTCTAGTAGGATTTATCTTGACCGCACAACAGGATAGATAAAAGTTTGAAGCTAAGTTTCTGCCTCATCAGTAGATGACTTAAAATCCTGATTTATATTTTAGCTGTCTTCAATGAATACTTAATAGTAGAGACCTACCATTTTGTAAATATACTACCTGTAGTTACATTAACTTGTGATCAAATATGCTGTGCATCAAATACTTCCTATTCTTTTATTCTTGCTTTCTTATTTAGGTTCTCGCAATTCTGTAATGCTCGGAGAAAAGTTGGTTGATTATCATCAAGATTTTCGTATGTATTTATGCACACGAGAAACCCCAAGAACACCGGGTACTGTTCAACCGATCAACGCAACATCATTGGTTACCATAGTTAATTTTATTACAACACGAGCTGGATTAATTGATCAATTATTAGAAATCACTTTACAAAATGAACGTCCAGAGTTAGAAAACAGACGACAACAATTAGTTCGTGATGAAGAAAATATGAAAATTGAATTAGCTCAACTAGAAAATGACTTATTAGAGGTTAGAATTGCTTCATGTGTACTAGGAAAATAGATTACTTATGCATAGCATTTTTAGTCATTTGACTCAGTGTTTACTTTGTTTTGCATTATGCTGCGTTGATTCCGTTGAACTCGTTACTAGTGAATGTAGTTAATCGCACAAACCATACATGATTGCTAAAGAATCTTATTTCAGAAGTAAACGTGTAGAACTGTTAATTTTCAAAATCCCCTAAGGTTATCAGTAGGAGAGGACAGTAGCATTTAATTTGAAGGTTTAGACCGTCCTTAATTTTCTGGTACTTTGAGTTTCAAGAATTAAAACGTATAAGTATCATGAAAATGTACTTCAAATACAAGACTTTATAAAACTTTGATAGTCTGCATATTCCTCTTCAGTTATTTCAAGATTATTTTTCCCTGGAACAATTAATTTCATTGTATACTATGAACTAGTAGTAGAATAAAGTGAATAATTCTTTTGGAATTAAGAGTTAGTATGAACTGTTGTGACCAAATATCCAAATCATGAAGTTCTATCGTATTTATGAGAAAAATATCATACGACAATCTTGATAATGTGAACGAAGTTGTATTACACGTTCCGTTTCTTTTGCTGAACATAAAATTTTTCATAACTCATAAAAAATTTCTTGATTGGATTTATAGTAAGTTATTAGATAGGTTTTGATTTAAAGCTGGTTCTATTAATTGATATCTAGCCCTTTGATTTTACATTGTGGTGAAATTTGTCTGTAGAGCGAGATAAAACTCTTCTTTGGATTAATTTCGCAGGTCCTTAGGTACATTTCTAAAACAGAATAGTTCCGTTAGTTTGAATTCAAACCACAATTATTCAAAGAAATAAACCCAATGGTTCAAAGTACTATATTCTAATTATTGTTTTACTTGTGTTCAGTTCCACGCTTTAGAACAACACAGTATTCTAAAAACGGATGCTTCGTCCTCCGTAGCTTTCGCAGTTTTTTATGGTAAAAGCAATGACAATCACATGAAAAGAAATAAATATGAAAGTAATGTTAACAGGAAACGGAAGTCAAGTTCATGATATTTCTAAATTTCTAGTTTAAAATCATACTACTATTCAGTAGTGTATGTACTTCTTATACTTTTTCCCGAAGCATTGATACTGTTAATTTATTGAGAAAACCCTTATTGTGGTGATAACGTGAACTAATGATTCATAAAACTGTTAATCTATCTTCTTTTTCATAAACCATGAAATACCAAAGGAGCTGGCCAATGCTCACGGTAATATCCTGGAGAATAAAGAATTGTTGACATCTCTGAATAAGACTAAACAATCAAGTCTGATTGTGACAAATTCTCTTAAAGAATCTCTGCGCTTGCAAAGTGAATTAGACAAGGTAAGAATGGTGTCAGTTTTATGCTAACTTCTATTTCTTTTACTTTCATAGCAATAAAGAAACTTGAGTTTTAACTGGTAGATAAAATTTAGTTCCATCCGACAAATTCTAGCTAGTCCCTTTCATAAGCTTACAGAAATTTCAGTCAGGAAGGTATAGAGAATTTAAGTGTACATGTCAAAAAAAGATAACACTATTGCCTTATACTTTTTTCCACTGATGTGAAACTTGTTTTCACTGCTAACCGGCGAAATTTCTGCACATAAGACTGAGAAGGAACTATGTGACACTCAATACTAAATTTTAAGCAGACCTCCAATATTTTTAGAGGCTACTGTTGAAGTTAATTTATAGTATCATCAAAAGTGGGAAGAAAGACATGTTACTTAAGACTTATTTAGTAATATCATTGTATAGCTCAACTGAAGAGCCTCTTACCGACTCCTTATCGACTTCTTATTTCTGTACGATTTATGTGTCATAAATAACTGGCTGTTAGATAAAAACGATTATTGTACATATATCCGTTTTCTGTGCTTGATATTAATTTCTTTGTGCTTTTTAGTTATGATATGATGTAAGCAGATAACGTAGTTATACGCACGCATGATTCAGAGGAAGAATAATTGCAACTTCGTCCACTATGTGGAAGAGGGGATAGAAAGGCTGTTAGTCACAGTTGTCAATACCTCTTTTTACGTTAACAAACTTGAAAAGTGCGAAAGCAATAGGTGTAACAGAATAATGTGAGGTCATTTTTACTATTTCGAGGATTATTCTGAACTGCTTGTCACTTAAATAATCTCAAAATGTGCACACAACAAGAATTGGACATACTTTTAATACGATTGCAAGAACTTATTGACAGGATCGACTAGTAGCATAGATAATGTAAATGGGTATGAAGTAGAGATCACTTAGAATATTAGGGGAAGTTTAACTATTTATGGGATCATCGGATAAACTTTCTTGGATGTGAAGATTAATAGATGATAGTATCAAAATCGACCGACTCTACAGCCAATGAAATAACCAATCAGATTTATTTGTTTCTTGAAAACGTCCTTTTTTCCAGCCTAAGAAACATTATGGGTTGATTCAGCGATTGCTAGGATGACTGACTGACTGACTGGCTGGCTGGCTGGTTGGCTGGTTGGCTGGCTGGCTGGTTGGCTGGCTGGCTGGCTGGTTGGCTGGCTGGCTGGCTGGCTGGCTGGCTGGTTGGCTGGCTGGCTGGCTGATAAAATCAACGTAGAACCTCGCACTTCAGTGCATCGGTTCAAGTTGCCAAACTTCACAGTAGTATACAAATAACAGGTGGGTAGAAAGAGTAATATGAGGGTAGACGGAATTGTAATGGTTATTGCGAATGTTTGAGCTTTAGATGTCAAGGAGTGAATAAATGTGCGCCATTGGGGTAAGTTCCCAGCCTTGTCACCAAGCGTCCTCAACCATTCATTCCTTTCATCTCGGAGACCACAACCTGACAGTCTACATCTCCCCAAGTGACCCATACCTACAGTAAGAGACTTCGTGAACTGGTGCCACATCTTCGTCTGGCTACCATGAACCCTCTTCCAACCTAAATCAACTTTCCCTAGTATGGCATATCGAGGAAGGTGGTGGGTCGGCATGTCCAGTAAGTGTCCAAAGCATCTCAGTCGACTAAGATTCAAAACGTCATCAATCAACTCGGCTGTCTTGTCTAGTAGCCTTCGCCTGTATTCAACATTGCTCATACAGTGATTCCTCCAAATGTGAGCAATAGTACGAAGACATCTGTAACCAAAACCCTATAATCAATTCATATCTTCTACAGCCATATCTCACAGCTGTAAAACAAGACAAAACGGACTGCAGTGTAGTATACTCTTCCTCTAATAGACAGTCGGACATCTCGGCATTAGGCACCAGAAATGATGCAAGTTGGCCAGTGCCAAACTGGCCTTCTGTATTCGAGCTGAAATTTCGTCAGCAACCAACCTGTTCGGACTGATGTAACTCCCCAAGGAAGTGAAGTGGTCGAAATACTCCACAAGTCAAAATAATGTTTACAGTTCTCACTTCAAACACATGGTATTAAGATATATCAGTCTACTTGTACCTATAACAGAAGTTTCATTCTATTTCAGAGTTTTCGTCAGGAAAGGATGTTCCTTCTTTAGCTCCTCAGGCTAGGTGTAGGAAAACCTGGGATAAACTCAGAGTGCAAATTCACCATAACCAGTCTCTTTGCCTTTTCAGTTTCAAGCACACAATAAAATATGATCAGAAGGGTATTTTTATTAGAATACTGTTTTGTCGGTATGAAGCAAGAACTATTAGGAATGGCTTTCTTTCCAAGTCATATATTTGTCAGATTTTGCATTCTGAGGCCTGTTTAATTTCATTTTGTGGGACGCCGTTTAACATATCCAATTACTGTCCATTGGCGCCACTGTATCATAGTTTCATAAATGATTAGGTTTCATTCTGCATTTTCCACGAATGAATTTTACTGATAAAGCGATTCTAAAGATTGTATGTGGTGTATAAAAGTTTCAACTAAGTAATCATATAAGAACTCGATCTTCTTAAGTGTAATGTTGAACGAAATGTTTTGATTTTCATACAGAGAACGAATTTCTGTAGGCTTATCAGGCTAACTTGTTTGTTAAGGTAAATGAACGTGAACCTAGTTTTCTAACCTTCCACCTTACCACTTCAAATAATAAAATTCGGGATACAGTGAGATATTTATTTTTTGCTATAGTTGGTACATGTAAAGCTCAACTGACCTACTTTGTTTGTTACTGAAAACAAGAGAATGGTGATAATATTATCCGGTTAAACTTTCTCAAAGTTTTATGTCTTGTCAGACAGTTACATGATGTAGGATAATTATTTGTATGCTGATGAGTAGCAACAAGCATAAAAGCTCAGATTCAGAGCTTTATGGCTCGCTACAACTATTTCCAAAATGTGCACTGTGGTGTCATATCAATCAGCTTGGTGGTGAAATCGTAAACTTGACTAAATGATTTCGGGCAATCCTTTGAACTTTAAGTAGTTCGATAGATAATTCGTGTAAAAAGTGACTATGCTCAACTTTTGTCTATTAAGCTTATCAATGGTAAAACAAGCTGATGATTGTTGAAAGCTTTTCAACAATAGATTCAAGTTAATTGAATATGATCACTTTTGTGGGATAAATTATTCCCTGGTTTTCTTTCTGAGTTCACCTCTCAAATGTTATTTTTCTGTATACAGTTTACTGAAGTCGACTGCCAATAATCAGTTATAGGTTATAGGTTATCACTGGTAAGTTACTCTTTATGATATAAAACTTACCTAACTCGCCTTCTTTAAATGAACTATACAAGCTATCGACCAGTAAGTTACATGACACGTAACGTGATTTATTTTCTCTTATTCACATAGGAAAGAAACATATTTCATCCGCTAGCTGAAACTGGGAGTCGGCTTTACTTCGCCTTGAAAGATCTCGTGAAAATCAATCATATGTATCAGTTTAGTTTAAACAGCTTTCTCTACCTTTTTAAGCGTGCTCTTTCTATGCCATATGTAAGTAATCCTACTAATTGCTATTTTTGTCTGTTATATACCTAAAATCCAGGGTGATGTGAAAGGAAAAAATCATCAAGTTGACTGGTTTTGTGGAGTAGCAAGTGAAAATAAATTGCTGTTCTTTACAGCCACTTTAGACCTCACCACCGAGTCTCATTTGAATAACAATTAGACAGAATAAATGTTGCGCGTATCCAGGTCAAGATAAAGTGCTAGTCCAGGATGTTTATGATCATGTTCTGAACATTATAGAGAATTTTAACCTACCTGTCTAGAATCCTCTTAATGTTGTGAAACGATGATCAGAATACGTTCAGAGCATGGCTCAGTATCAACCACACTTATGTAGGTGTCATCTGGAGAAATTTGAACAATTCCATAAGCCTTCGATCACTTAATCCCTCTCTCACGCTTTGTTTTTCCATACTGTTGGCGGTTTGCAGAAATTAACTTGTTTGGAAGTAGTTTCAGTCACAGGGTGACTTCAGTCGGATAAATAAGGAAAAACTGGGAGCACTGATGACTGGTCCGTATTCGTCTAGGACTCTCCAGCAGTGTTCATATACGACTAAGTGATAGAACGAACCCAAGACCGTTAAGTTCTGGGTTCAGCAAATTACTACTCAGCCACTGGTTTGAAATCCAATGGCCCATGTTTTTCTGCTTCTTTAGGTTCGAGATACAACATGACCATCATATGATGTCATTTTCTATTCGTTTTCACTCTTTTTGTCTTTGTGAAGCTAGGCAGATCAAACTGATATACTTCTGCTTAAAGTTCAAGGTTTTCCTCTCTGTCAAGATGCTTTCGCTATTTTATAACAAATCAAACATCTTACCAACGTGTTATTTTCATTTCATTTTTCAGAAAATTTTTTGTAGTACCCAAAACAAACTGAAAATAAGGAGCGACTTTAAAGACCACCCTAGCAACTGTTAAGACAACCAATTACTGCTCACTATTTTATGAAAATCTAACTTCCTAGCTGAAATACTGAAATCTGATCGGCTGTTCAATAACTTACTAGGGTAGCCTTTAAATCCGCGCGAAAATAAGCACTGAAGTAAAAAAAGTAGTCAAAGTTTGGCAACTAGGTGAAAACCCATGTATTAGCAAATCATCTTAGTAATGCAGCCCATTTCGATCTCCGCCTCATCTATGTATGAGCCTGGAAAACCGTGTAATATCATATGCTCTTTCAAGAACAGTGTGACTCATGGCCTAGTACCACGTTGAGTTAAATTGTTGTTGTCTTGTATCTTACTGCTGATTAATGCCCTATCTATAGATTATGCATTCTTATCCCTAAAATGAATTACCGGGCTACTTTAAAGACCACTCTAGGAACAACTAAAATGACCAATCATGCTTCGTTACTTTGGCTGAAAAAGTACTTTTCCATAAAATAAAGGGATGTAATTGGTTGTCGCAGTTGCTACGGTGGCCTTTAAAGTCACTCGAACTACCAGTACACATATATATTTCAGTCATAATTTGAGTGGATTGATAGTAAAACCTCCGACTTCATTCTCATCAAGATTATGGGTAAACCTTATTGAAGAACATCTGCAACTAAGATAAGTGAGTTAAGTAGGGACTTTTGCCAATTGATTCTTAGCATTCAACACCAAAAGTCTTGACATGATATTCTATAGTATTCTCACCATAGGTAATTATTACCAGGTTGATCGAACTATAAGCAGAAATCTAATGAATTAAACCAATAGATGTGTACAATTGAATGTTTACACTCAGCATAAAGGTGTCTACCTAGTTCACCTCTTGTAGTCACCACACAACAAATGTTATAACCATCTAAAATGGATATTGAAACTGTTTTAATTAACACATTGTTTTAATATGCAACAATGAAGTCTAAATTCATATCGATAGGATATGAAACCTATAATCATGTTTACATTTAAGGTTAGTATGATTAGAATTATATAAAAAGTTAAATTCACACTGAAGTACCGCCTGAGTTACATAATTTCTATATAAACATTTGATTTATCTTTCTAGAAAGTTAGTGAAATCCACTAAAAATTTTCATTTTCAAGTTATTACCAAACCTAAGAAATAAAGAAATAAAAGTCTCATTAGTTAGAGGTGATTTACATAACATATTCCAGTTTTGTTCTGGAAAGAACAAAATATATAACACATCTGATCTCCACTTGTGTAACGATGTTTTCTTAGAATAGAAGATATATGTAGATTACAGACATGCGACCTTCAAAACATTGACAGCTTTTAGCAGGAATAACTGACTCATCTATCCTTCATTCAAGTATGAAGTTATATAAAAGAAAGGTAATTTAGTTGATGAAGTTGTGAGCTTCAACTGATCACATATTCTACATTTCGAGCTAATTCCTACTGTAACACATAATATTGACTGGAGGAGGTTAAGTCAGTAAGATCCACAATGAATCCATTACTAGTAACCTTAAGCATGCAAGGAGTCATCAAAATGTTAAGAACCAATGATTAGAGATGAAATTGTTCAAAATCTCATTCATATACATATACAAATCTTGTTTATACACTTGGATGCCTCAAGTACCTTGTTATTCAAAAGGACTTTGAGTGAACAAAAAATACTCTTTTCGATAACTTCTTCTTCAGGTTCTACAGTTACGTGTGTACACATTGAGTAATTACGCGTCAGCAATATAGAGATTCCACCTATCAGTTTGTTAATAATATTATACGGTTGCGGAAGTCACCTGAAAAAAGTCCTGTGTGAAGTTGATGCTCCTTCACTTGTTTATTTTGATGCCCTTTAGTTTTGATAGGTTTTTCTGTATGCTCTGCACTGATACATTCTTATAAGGTTCGAATATGTTGTATTTTTACGGCTTTTTTTTTCTCGGGGTTACTTTAGAAATATAATGAAACTAAGTTACGTGTCCTATCTAATCACTGCTTATTATTCATCTGCTGTTTCAAATTTTTGAGGTCGAGTGGCAAAAGATACATGAAAGCATCTAGAATGAATTTATCCTATACTCTGATTCCATAATGTCAAAGTATAATGTAATTCGCATTTCCAACGAACTACAGATACTCATCAACAACTGCCCACGCTCGGTACTGAAGCTCAGATGACCAGAAAGTATAAGCAACAAGGAGCTTTGGCAACGAACCAACCAAGAACGTATCGCTCAACAAATATGGAGAAGGAAGTGGAGATGGATTGTATTGAGCATGCACTGAGAAGATCATTCGGCGACATCACGCACCAGGCGCTCCAGTGGAACCCAGAGGGGAAACGACGAGTTGGGCGCCCGAGGGTGACATGGAGGAGATCGCATGAGGAAGACATGAGGGCTTTTAGGCAGTGGTGGAGCCAGGTTCAAAAGGCTGCAGAGAACAGAGTGGAATGGAGACGTGCTACTGAAGCCCTATGTTCCACTAGGAACCCAAGGGTCAAATAAATAATAATAATAGTATAATTCGATAAATGAATGTACACGTTTTAACACCATATTTACAGAAGATGACCCATTGAGAAGAATGATATGTAACTCAGTTTCGGGACACCACCGTTTTGTAATGTGTTCTGATGACACAGTATGAACGTATAGCGATCCCTATCATCAGCGATATGTCGACTGGTTCGTATTAGTCACCTTTTATGTGGATACGTGATTTACTGCGAACATATAGCTGGGGTGAAAATAAAAGTCTGATAACTGATTTGTTGTACATAGAATGGACTTTTCTGTAATGATAAGTCATCTGAAACTGGGGAGTGGATTGATTGAACATACTGACCACTTTATTTACTTAGTTTCAAACCCGTTGGGTTGTTCGTTGACTGACGAAATCTAGACATGAGTACAAAATGCTTGGTCATCTTTTGCCGTTTCGCACCATCTATAATACCACAGACGAATCTGACCGGCAAACAAAGGGCAAGCGTACTGTTAGGTAGTTCACTCTATCCTACTATATGCTAATGAAACATGTCGTTCAAAATCGAATGATGCAAAAATGCTGCATTCCTTTAGTAATCAATACCTTTCTGGCGTGACTCGAATATATTGCAATTTATATATGAAAAACATTCAACTTAGATACAAGTAGGGTCTTAAGGAAAATGAATTTGTTAACTTAAAGCGGTTCATATTTTTAACTGAAGTTGTTTTATTCAAGTTGGTATTCCTCATGGAGTGACATCAGTTGAAAAAAAAATGAAAACCTGGGAGCACTGGACAGCTATCCCATCCTATTATAGGACTCCTCAGCAGCGTACACCCGTGGCTTGGCCCCCCTCAGGGGGCCTTCAGGTTACGTGTCCAGCACGTTACCATTGAGCCACTGGGTTGGAATGCGATGGTCCATATTCCAAACTTTTTTCACTTCACGACATATTATGACCATCATCCAATGTCATCGTTGAGTATTTGTCCTCACGTCCACCAGGTTTGCCCCACTGATTGTGCTATGTCGTGAAATTATAAAAGTTGGAAGTATGGACCATTGGATTCAGATTCATTGGCTCAGCCGTAATGTGCCGGTCACGAAACCTGAAAGTGCTGGGTTTGATCCCTGGCGGGGCGGGGTCATGGGTGTGCACTACTGTGAAATTCCATCCTAGAATGAAACAGCTGTCCAGTGCTTGCAGGTTTCTGATGTTCCTCCAGTTGGTGTCAGTCCATGATTATTACTAATCTAAAAAATCACTAAATCCTCACAAACCCCAAAATTCAATTAAAGTTTTTTCACCTGTGCACAAATATTTTTTATGAAGGTAAATCTTAGCTATGAAATGGACTTGCTTATCGACTATTACAGAAGAAAGGTAAAAAAACGATCATTGTACCAAGAATAATGTGTGAAAATAAGCTATTGTTCTACAACAAATTTCTTTAGTACTCAAAAGTAGATTTGCTGTCTTCACTTTAAAAGTATTATTCTATGTTCAATCTAGTCTCTTTATCTTCTAATCTTCAAAACAACCATTGCATTGTGTCAGTTTAATATTGTTCATGACCCAGTTTTACATCTAATGAAAGGATACACGCATTTAAATCTTTTTTTCCAAGGATACTGGACTGCAGGCTGTAGAACGTATTAAATCACTACAAAAGCTTGTAGAAATATTGGTTTATGAAAACGTCTCCCGGGCATTGTTTAAATCCGATCGCTTAATATTTGCATTACATCTGGTGCATATTATACGTCCACAATCATTAACAGATGAGGTATAATATTGTCAGAGTTGATGTTTATCATGTATTGTTTTATCCTCTAATCTATATATATTTTCATTCGACATAATGCTAACTTTCTGTTGTAGATATTTCAATCGATCTCAAAAAGTAAGGTATACTGTTATTTCTGACTACACAAAAGATTTTTTCACTACTTAAAATGCTTTTCTTAGTTAAAAACTAAGTATATTCGAAGTCATTTGACAAATCAGCAAACAGAATTATCTTTCAATCGGGTAGATTAGTAACAGACATTATCGTATATACACAACATTCATGACAAAAATGTCATCTGATGCGAATTGTTTCACAGGATTTCATTTCACAGAAAATGTTTAACACTTACTCTTGAGTCAAAGATAGTTTAAATACAAACTAATGATTACTGTAGTGAACAGTTAACTCTTTTCTTAAGTTTTCGTGAAATTATGAGGATGCAAAGACTATCTGAAGTTTTCTGTTTACCAACACCATACAGTGTGAGTAATCTGAACTAAAATAAACTTCTGAGGTTATTCATATGAAATTTCTTAATGATGAAACAAAATAATGTGAAACATGTGAGTAACACAAAACATTAAATCAAGAAAAATTAACATGTACTTGATTAGCTTCAAAAAATAGGGGGAGAAAGAATTCAGTCACTCGATAAATTCAGATAACAAACGTATAATCAAGATTATCACAAGTGATATTATGGCTTAATGCAAGAGATATATTTGGCAATTCACTCCTGTTAGTCTGTAATGGAAAAAGCTAAAAACTCCGGTCAACTCTTATACCTGTTGAAAAGGAGGTAACTATGATAACTTGTATAACTAGTGGATAATGATCTGATGTTTTGAAGTCCTGGTTGTTAGGTTAAAATCCCCCGAAATACAATCAAACGGTTACAAGCAAGCCCAGTTGGCCAGTCTAAAATTGGTCGACTGATGCATCTTAAATTCCCCTACTAGACACTATCAAACACGATGACGAATAAGAGAAAAGTCAATCATGTACTTAAGTGATTCTAGAATAAGTAACTGTTGGAATATATAGTCCGGTTTTTGCATATGATAAACATTTATCATCATTTATCGCCAAATTTAAATATTTGAAACTTTTCATTTCGGATTGACATCAGTTAGAGAATCATCCAAACCCTTGAAACCCATTGGAATCATTGAAAGCCTAGGAGAACTGAGCAGCTGTTCTTTACTAGTTTCGGAATCCTCAGCATTGCTCACCATCGTTACTTTTTTATCAATGTCATGTGTCGTAGGGCCACTGCGACAGTAATCTAGAAGTTAAGCAGAAAGAGAGTAAGTTGATGAGATAGCGAACTTTGATCGTTTTAGGTGACTGGGAGTTGTGTTATGCTTGATGTCACTGTTTGTCTCGTCACACAATGCTGACTGAAGTAGTTTCAGGCTAGAAAAAGGTCATAAGCGATCATGGCATTAGTCCATGAAATGTTTGACTATTGATTCAAGTCATGTAGACTTCCTGGTTTGTGCCGGCATGATAAACGAAATCAGTGTTTGGAACAGATGCATCTACACATCATCGTCATTCTAATCGGCATATCGCATTTCGTTGTTGTTTTATCTCTTCCTTATCTCATCTAATGACTTTTATGTGACTTATAATTACACTTTGTTTTTCCATTTTTCTATTTCTTATCCTGATACCTTTTATCTTGATGTGCTGATATAGACATCGATACCTTGGATTGCTGCAAAGTTATGCCAGTCCTCATGTTGGTATCGACTGACTAATATCAACTGTATAAATGAGATCTACTAAGGATCTAGAAATTGATGTATATTGATGTTTTTGAGCAATTTAATTGTCTTATTATTTTGAATATTCTCATATCAGTCTGCTCTGCTTCTATAATTATTAAAGGAATGGCTTTTCTTCATTGGACTAAGTGTAACAGAATCACATCCAGCTGTAGAGAACGCACCCAGCTGGCTAGATCGAGAACGAGCTCGAAACGTACTGAATCTTAAAGTACGTAATTTCATTTTATTATAATTAAAAAATATGTTGAAAATAAATTTATATGACTGAACGATAATGTGTTTATTTAATTTTATTTTGAGATCAGATGTACTCTGAAGACGATTTATGTAATCAGTGAAATGAAAAAAGGAGATAACAAAAAGTGGGTTATAATCTGTCTACCTTCAAACCATAAAGAATTTGAGGGAAATTGTGAATTGCTCTCATAGGTTTAAGTATTTCCATTGAATAAGACTTCAGTAAGTGGATTTATTTTCGGCGAATTCATCTTCTGTAGCTGTACAGTCTTTAAATATAGTTAGTGTACTTAAAAATGTCAATATTTTAATTGGCATTGAATATAAACTGACATCATTTGGAGGAACATCGGAAACCTGGGAGCACTGGACAGCCGTTTCGTCCTAGTATGGGATTCCACAGCAGTGCACACACGACCCCGTCCCACCAGGGATCGAACCCAGGACATTCAGGTTCCATGGCCGACAGGTTACCATTGTCAGTCCATGATGAGTATCAAACCAAAATCAATAAATCCTCACAAACCCACTCCCCAAATTGAATTAAACTGCTGCTCATCGGTAGCTAGCTTCGAGAGGTGATCATGAAGTTCCAATGAGATGACGTGACCAGTGGGGCAAACCTGGTGGGCGTGAAGACAAATATTCGACGATGACAATGAGTGATGGCTGGGCCATGTTGTGAACTGACAGGAGTAGGAAATGTGGACCATTGGATTCTGACCCGATGGCTCAATGGTAACGTACTGGGTGTGGAACCTTAGGTCCTGGTTTCGATCCCTGGTGGGGCGGAGTCATGTGTGTGTACTGCTGTGGAATCCCATACTAGGATGAGACAGCTGTCCAGTGTTCCCAGGTTTCCCATGTTCCTCCGAGTGATGTCACTCTATGGTGACTACCAACTTGGAAAATCACTAAATCCCCAGAAACCTCAAAATTGAATGTCAATATTTATTGGTAAATAATTGTTGGTTTTTTATATCCGTGAAAACTGCGTAAGAGATTAGAACTGCAAAACTCAAAAATTCAGAAGTGATTAGGAGCAAACAATGAAAAAGTCTCTTCTAGATACACAGTTTCGGTTCCGATTGTTGAATTGTCGAAAATTCAGCAGTGCAAACTGAACGTTTTCTCATACCATTCAGAAGATTACGTTGTACTTTGTAGCTTAGTCCAGTCCTCTGTTAGTTTTCTCAGTGTCATCTATCTTCTGAAACTGAACCTTAAGAAGACAGATACCCATTCTGAATTGTAGTAATGTTCATATTATTTCTACGTTCATAGTATTTCGCAATAAAGTTCAAACAGCATCCATAATAATGAAGCCACCATCGAACAAATATAGGTTTGTTGTGACTCATCTTCAAAGTAAAATTTAGAGTGGGGATTATGATCAAGCCTCCTACATAATTTGTGGAACATAAACTGTTGAAGTGTATTTGAAACAGCCTTTCAAATTGTTGTCAATTACACGTTTGTCCAGGTCTCAAGAAACTCAGTATCCCTGATACACTTGAATTCGTATGTCGTAGCAACATAGACGTTAAGTTAATCAACTCGAAAGAACAATAATACCGTGAGAGGTCTACATCATTCCACTGGCTTAATAGTGGATTGATTTATGTGACCCTAAAGATGTGGTGCAACGCCTAATTGTGTTTGAATAAAGCATTCCGATTTATTTCATAAAAATCTTAACACTATTTTCTTTCTTATCCAAACACTTTTTCGTGTAGGCAGCACTTCCGAGTGTTTATGAAAATCTGTGTTTCGGAGATGCTAAATTTTGGACGAATTGGTTACATGAAAATGATGTTGAAACTAAATCTATTCCCAGTGCTTTAAATTCAAAATCAATTAGTCCATTTCATTATATGGTCCTTGCAATTCAAGCTCTTCGACCTGATCGTTTGCATACAGCTCTGTCGCAATTCACTATTCGAACCTTAGGTAAAGTGGAATTTTTCTAAGCTAGGTGATAATTTTGCATGTATTTGCTTTCCTTCACTAATTTGAAAAGAGCAACAACGATCAAGTTTAGAAAGTTTAATGAATTCATTATATTTTGTTGCTATCTGCTCACCTACTTATCAGTTATTAAAAATTAATAATAAATGAAAAAAGAAATCATTATATAAGTAGGTTTTAATATAATCCCAGCGTGGTTTAAAATCAAAAGAAATGTTAGTTAAAAGTATACTATCCAGCCAAGCGAAATGTAACCGAAAAAATGAAATCCATACTTCAAAATAAACCTCATCGCTTAGTGTTAGTTGGCTGGAGGAAATCGATAGAAAGCCTTGGACCAAGGTTTCATGTTTGTTGTCACTCGTTGGCGAGGCATTTCTGCAACCTGTATGGAACTGATGTCCCGCCTGAGATTTGATTCTCATCACTACACCGATGATTACGTCACTTCCAGCTGTATATACCAGTTTGCACATGTGTCTGGTGACGCATACTTGAGAGGAGTGATCGAACTATGAAGCCGACGGTGGTGAAGTATATCTCTAGGTGGCTGGAATGACAATTACATCCAAATAATGCTATAAGTATATGGGTGTCAAACAAGCATCATCTATAGGTAAACAGATTATAGAAACAGGTCATCGGATTGACTTGAAAAATGTCTTTAAACCATTATGTAGGAACCTTCGAGATCGTATATTTAGGTTCGTTGAAGCCTTACCCATACAGAAGTGCAAAACCCCTCTGTGTATCCCAAAACAGTTCGTCCCTACCTTGTTGATCTTTATCTCATTTGAATGCCAAGGGAGGTATGAAAGTGTATTATTCCTCCTTATTATCCTTGTATTTTCCAAATCTTACATGGTCTTGATTTACCTTACCCCACTCTATTTTCACCTTTCGTATAAAATCCCTTGACAAGCAGGTATGTGACCAGATTATTCTAAATGTATTGTGCAAATGCATCAACTTTCTCAGATAGCCTTCATAGTTTTATTATATTAGGCAAATGTTTATAAACTTGGAAACGCCCCACCTAGGGATACACAATATAAACTAGCCTATTATCGCCGTTATATAGATGATACGTTCGTCATTTGCAATAATGACTGCAATAAAGATTTTTTGAATACCTTCACTGATGTTCACCCAGCTATGAAGTTCACCTATGAGGAAGAACAGGGGAATAGTATTTCTTTTCAAAATGTCCTCCCCACCATGAAAGTGGATGGATATGTTGAGAGAAGTATTTCTCGAAAGAACACAATGAGTGGTCAACATATTCACCTTCATAACTTCAAACCAATTCGTTATAAAAGGGACCTAGTTAAATGCCTAAGTTAAAGAATAAGAAATATTTGTCTTGATGACTATATCAAAGAAGAAATGAAGAAGCTGAAGATAACATAACAGCAAAGTGGTTATCTGCTAACCTTAAAAATAAATACATGTTGAAACCTAGAGAGAAGATAAAGAAAGAGAGTGTTGCTAAGAAGCTTATACATCTTAGACCAAGTTCCAAAGGTGATATTGCTTCAGATGTCTTAACACGTCAATTAAGTCGATCAGTTGAAAGACCATTCACTGCAGCGAAACTTTTTATCAGCTTCTCGACCAAACTATTACTGACACTGCGAACCAAAAATAGACTAACAATGATGGCCAATGATAGCTCAATTGTTCCTGTGTCCGTACTCAAAGGGATCTATGCATGCTCGCTCATGAACGTGTACCAGCTTGACTAGGGAAAGGAATGACAAAACTTATCAACAATGCAGTCCTCTCACATCTAGTAGATATGGGACATTAGATCAAGATGGATCAAGCCTTGCAATCTTCCTAAAGCGGCCTAACTACGCATCTTACCCATAACCGAAGCCACAGGTATCGCAGCAAGAAAACCGGACCTATGTGCTCAAAATAAATATGTATATCTACTTTGTCCACTTTGGCCCTCAATAGAGTCGATACATTTTTTGTGAACTTAGCTACCACAAATTTCACATTTTAACCTCCCACTTCTTTATTCTATATTGTCATTACACTAGTTAACATTCATTTTCTTATGTTTTTAGTTTTATACCCTTGTTTATTCATACCACCAATCGTGACGTAACACTTTACATGTTATGCTTCATTTCGTTATAGTATTCACATGATTTTCACTCTACTTGGATATAAGTCGTCACTGCTAAATTATGATTATTTGACCCTTAGCAAAAACACACATTCATGCCTCAGTTAATGCATACAATTGAATCATTAGGCCTAGATTTTCTCTCATTATCTAGTAAACGTTCCGTCAATATTGATTTCATTGCACAGCTAACACACTAGACTGATTACCATTCCTCCACTCCACTTGATTTGATGTCAGTTTACACTGACTATCTCAATAATGTAGTAATTTTTACATCACGCCTTATTTGGGCTGTTGTATTTCACTAATTCTCATGGATTTATAACTGTAAAACAGGAAATTATTGAAAATAGTTGTTCGCTCAAATTATTCTTTCAACTGACGAAATAATACCCATTTATTCATTAACAAGAACAAGGCATGTATCAGCGAAGAAATATTTCGTTTCAACGACATCATCATCAAACTGTACAATCGTCTTTATACTCGGCACTAAAACAGTGGCTCAGTCAATACGTAAAATATACAATAGGTGTGTATGGTGGTATTTATTCAAATGGAAGAAATAGGAAATGGGTCACTGAATAAGGAGGAACGAATAGGTAACAAGTGATGAGATAAGAGACATTTACTGTTAAAGAATTGTAAAACGGTGATAATATAGTTAAAACATGCTAAACAGGTCAATGGATAAGGAATGAATTGATATTAAAGAGTGAAATATGGGTCAAATGTTGTCAATGAAGTGAAAATTGGTAATAATGATGATAATAAAAGAGAAGTATACCAGAGTGAACTGAAATTGACAAAATCCACAAAATGAATTGTTAAGGCCAAGGTAGAGAACGTGGTTTTACAAAACGTTTTTGAATGTAAAGTTTCGGTTTTTGTCCATGTATAGCTAATGCTTCAGCTATGCATAAGTTTAGAAGTGGTTCAATTTAACTTTGTAAATTAGTTTAAAGGATGAATCCCGAGGTGCTGAGTGACCTAATCCAACAAGGTGTTCACATTTGGATGAGGTCGTTTTCCTTTGCTCGCATCTGATAAACCAAACCAAACACGTTCTCGGAGGGCCCGCTTACAACGTCCAGTATAGTCAGCTCCATAGGAGCATGTGGACTTGTAAATACTTATATCCACATCTATGTGTATCTACAAGTTCACATGCTCCTGTGGAGCTTGGGGATATCATTATTATTTGTTGATACTTGTAATTCTTTGTTGTTACACTGGATCGAATTTATCAATCTCTGATGACATATGAGCTGCTATACCAATGACTTGATATTGCTTATATATTTATTGTTATAGATGACTTGGTTGTGGCTAGTAGTAGATATCAGAACGTGCGTTTCGTCCTTAAATAACTAGTACTCGTTTTTCAAGAGGTGGCTATCATGCCTCAGTGGCCTAGAGGGATAACGCTTTGGTGTTTGAAGCGATAGGTGCTGGATTTGAGTTTCGATGGGTGCAGGTCCGTCCAACTGACGAGTCCCAAATAGGATGAAACCCACGCCCTGAATTCTGCTGCTAGCTACAACGAAGTCACTTATTAAGGATATCAGTTAAGGAATACTCAGGATAGTAAAACAGTCACATAATATGAACAGAAAAAACCTCAGGTAATGGGATAGAAGAAAGTTGAAAAAGATGAATTTTATTTAAAATTGCCGAACTGTAAACACAACTAAAACAGTTTAAAGTAAATACTAGTGAAAGATAAGAGAAAGATAACACTGCAGCAGTTTTCTACCAAGATCAACCACCATCGGTTTGTGAAGACAAATTCGAAGTTCTGACCTATCAGTAGTTATATCAAGGTGATATGATTAAGAACAATAAATTGTGCTCGGAACGTTATCCAGCAAGAAATACTTTTTTCCTCTGTTATACATCTTATTGATCAACTGAAATAGAATCACATTTCATCATAATAATGACCGTTTCTTTTCGAAGCCATAAGTCGAGTCAGATTATTCTGACTTCACTTGTTTTGGGTAGACGGAAGCAGAAATGAAATCTTTCATATGTTTAAGACTCTAAATGCCTTGGTTGTACATGTTGATGGCTTGAATCGACTAATATCACTACTAACCCCACCTCTAAACAACGTTATACAAGCAAGATGTAGTTTTTGTAACACATTCCAGGATTCTAGTAGACGACATTTTTCTATTCTTCTGATGTACTTGCTTACCAGCATATACACAAATTAATAGATCAAATTGAGAGTAGCGAGGTCTGGAAATCCGTCTACTGTGAATTGTTTAAAATAGCTTAATGCACTCAGTCTCAATTTAATTTCATCTGTTCCTTGTTCCCTACATTTTTCTGTATGTTTTGCTCTTGGATGTCAAAATGTTACATTTAGCACAACAAGGACTTATGTGTTAAGCTGCTAGTGGTTCTGTAGTCATTTCTCATCATTTTTCTAGTAGACTTTATGTTATGAAATAGAACCAATGAAATGAAATGACACCTTAAATTTAGCACAATTGTTTTTATATCATACCGTCGTTGATTGGACCGAATTGATCAGTCCCTCTTGGCATATGGGATCCTGTGCAGATGCCTCGATATTACCGGTGCTCCAATGGTAGTAATGGTGAATAGTGGTTAGCAGTGGAATCCAGAATCCAGCTGGATGTGCCTGCTTCCCGGTGAGTGATGTTGTTCCCGTCGAGACTCGGACTCGGGAGTGATCGCCTCAAACGCCAGAGTTCGGTGGTGTAGTAGATAACGCTGTAGCGTTTGAAGCGATCACTCCCGAGTCCGAATCCCGATGGGAACGATATTACTCACCGGGAAGCAGGTACATCCAGCTGGATTGTGGATTCCACTGCTAGCCACTATCCATCATTGACACCTTAAATTGTTCAAATTTGTCAAGAGAATAAATACTTTTAGCGTGAAAAAGTCAATGGTTATTAATTTACGTACAATTTTAATGCAATTGTTTTCACTTTTCTATAGATTTACCTCAATTAAGTCCATCAACTTTGAATTTGCACAGATTATTTGAAAGTGAAACAAGACCAACAGAACCTGTACTTATATTAATCACTCCAGGAGCAGATCCTTCACAAGAATTGGAAGAAGCAGCTAAAATTTATTTCGCGCGTAAAGAATACACTAAAACAACAGAGAAAATCTCTACATCATTAGCAGTGAATTATCGTCAAATTGCTATGGGTCAGGGTCAAACTGATTTGGCCATAAGTGAATTGCGTGATGCGGCAAAATCTGGTCATTGGCTATGTCTAAAAAATTTACACCTTGTTGTACACTGGTTACCAGTGTTAGAGAAAGAAATTAATAAGTTACTATTTAATGTGTATAAAAAAGGCGAAAATACCACCAGTAATTATAACAACGGTGATATTGTTAAGAATGCAGTTGAAAATAATTATTCTGTACATGAAGACTTCAGACTATGGTTAACAGCTGAACCACGTACAACATTTCCATGTACCCTGTTGCAAGGTTGCCTTAAAATTGCTTACGAAGTGAGATATAAAGTGCTTTTTTCACAAATTTTTAAAAAAAATCATTGTTGTATCATTAAAATAAACTTGAGGTAACCTGTTAATTTAACTTCACTACAGTAAGTTAAGACATGTACAACGATTTCTGTCATTGTACTAAACTATGACATATTTGAACAGCATTTTTGGTAAGATAAATGGAGCGTATAAATAATCTCATCCATTCAAACAACTGCAAATCATACCGCTGACATGAATTAGCCAAAAATCCTCAATGCTTTTTAGTGTTTCGTGTGTGTTAGTTACAACATCCTATATAGATCGTATAATCGCTGACAGACTTTGAGATTTATTTTCACTCTATTGCCTGATTCCTTTAAAAACACTCAACCTTTAATAGTGAAGCAATTACTTAATGATACACATCAGCTATAGGGATACTTTTTTGAGCTTCTTATCTTATACATACCAGTGGAATATTTTCAGACGTGAAACGTAATACTTGAGATCATAGAAAAGGCAAGAGAAGGGGAAATGTGTCATTGTGTTATTCAATGAAGTTAGCGTCAAGGAGTGATCCTCAGTTTTCCATGAGGTCCTAAATTAATCACGATATATCGTGTCTGTTTGATTTCTTCAGATGACTGAGGTCCTTTTCACAACAACTTATGGAGTCTGCATTGTCTATTTAGAAAAAGTTATTCTGCCTGCCTTCTCTCCACTGTTTCTTTCGTTGGAACAATGTGATGTAAATGCTTTGAAATCTGGTTACTTTTTCCCATTCACTTCATACTATATTTGATTTTCATAATTTAATAACCTTGTGACAGATATTTCCTCGACTAATTTCAACTTTCAATTTTGAGGTTTTTATGGATTTATATATTGACTTCAAGTTGATATTCATCATTGACTGATATTGTGAACTGACAGAAGCTGGAAATATGGACCATTGGATTCCGACACAATGGCTCAATGGTAACGTGCTAGCTGCGGAGCCTGAAAGTCTTGGCAGGGTCACGGTTGCGCGCTGCTGAGGAGCCTCGTGATGGGGCGAAACAGCTGTCTGTTGCTCCAGTTTTCCGATGCTCCTCCAAATAGTTTCAGTCCACGATGAATATCAGTTTGAAAATCACTAAATCTCCACAAACCCCCAAATCCAATTGATCTAGTGCTCATCGGTGACTAGCTTCGAGAGGGGATTCCTGAATTTCAATGGAAGTCGTAACCGATGACGAATCTGGTGGCCGTGAGGACAAGTACTCAACAATGACAATGCGTGATTGGGCCATGTCGTGAGCTGACAGGAGTAGGATATATGAACCATTTGATTCTGATCCAATGGCTCAATGGTAACGTACTGGGTGTGGAACCTGTGGGTCCTGGTTTCGATCCCTGGCTGGGCGGGGTGATGTGTGCACTGCTGTGGAACCCCATACAAGGATGGGACAGTTGTTCATTGCTCCTAGGTTTCCAATGTTCCTCCAGTTGATGTTAGTCTATGATGAGTATCAACTTTTGATTTTGCACTTGCTGAATTACAGACTCATTCGCTCATCAAGCCTAATGCCCTGTTACACAACAGTAGCGTTACGCCTAATTATTATATGTGCACTATCTAATCAATTATTCCAAACAAGAAAAAAATGACATAAAGCAAGATAGATTAGGTTTTAAAATTTAGGTATGACATATGATTTTACTCTACATTCATGATTTGATGTTTTGTTATTCAATACACACACATAGACCAGACTTAAATATAGAATGAGGCAGTGCAACACGGTTTCAATAGTTTAACTAGGTTAAATAGAACAGTGAATAGATTAAATAAGGGGACAAAAATTGATATTGAAGAGCAAACAGACTGAAAATAGGTTTTATCATCAAATTTACGCAGTTGATACATGAACGGTGAAATAAGAATAATAAAGAACTCTCTATATGAAAATGGTTATCCTATGAAGTTTGTAACAACTGTTACAAGGAAAACAGCTAGAGAAAAATGCCTTCAGATGGTACTGAAGAAACGTTCATAGGAGATGCAACTGCAAAAACACAGGCATTGAAACTTAAAAGTCTGAAGGAAAAATCTTTGTCACAGCAGTATTTTTGAAATAAACTACTCGCTGTATGGTGCCAATGCAGTTGAAGGATAGGATACTCAGTCTGGTTACACCAATATGCGTTAATGAGTATAAATGCTCCTGGAGTGACTTTTACATAGGAAAACGAGGAGTTCAATTAAAGGCCACCCTAACAACCATTGACATAATTAGTCACTGTCCTGGATTCGTTCAGAAAGGTGGTTTTTTCGTACAACAGAATTATCTAATTGGTCATTTCAGTTGATGTCAGAGTGTTGTTTAAAGTGGCTCAAAACGAATAACTCGAAAGGCCGACCCAACAACAACTGAAATAACCAATTAGACTTCTATACCTCATGAGAATCTGCCTTTCCAGCCAAATAGACAACTTTATTGGCTATTGCAGATATCGCTAGATTGGCTTTAAAGTCACTTGAGTAAAACGTCTGGCAAGCCCCTCATCGCTGCATCGGATACTCTTAAGCGTGGTTGGGTAGAGAAACAGTGAAATCTATCCAAATCCCATTGATGGTTACTGAGCGTAAAATAAACAAAACCGGAGCATTTACCATTCTTTATAAAATACCATCGTAATACTCTAAGTTTGTGCACCTCCCGTAGCTAAGCTTTCTAAGAGCCCTAGCAATAGAAATTTTTAAGCCTAATTTATGTGTATAAAAGATGTGTTCGTTCCCTTTCCCTCCGATAGCCTCTAACTTTAACCCAAATGCAATCACAATAACTTCCATCCTGGCAAATGTAAATATAATCTTTATTGTACTCTTGTCAGTATCATTATCATGATCGCTTCACTCTGCCCTAATTTCGATTTTACTCTTTAGTCTTCGTTTCATAATTCATCAGTGATATAGGCATTTTTCAGTTAGTTACTGAGCTGTAATAACTTTATTCCCCTTTACCCTGCACACATACACAATTCACTCACACACACAAACACACAATAATTGACTACTAAGATCATGTAGGCTTTAAGTGACTTTAAAGGCCACCCAAGCAACTACCGAAATAACCAATCAGGTTCCAATATTCCACCTGGGATAGTAGTTTTTCATAAAATAGAGAGACGTAATTGGTTATCTCAACAGTTGCTAGTGCGGCCTTTAAAGTCACCCTAGACCGAGAGATTTTGTTCTTGTTAGTTTCGTCTTTATTCTTTATCTCCTAATTCATATCTCCGAAATCTGTTAGCCATATTGATGTCAAATGACTACAATAAATAGTCTGTAAGTGCGACGAGAATTTATTGAAAATACGCATTCGCTTTAAATTCTATTTTACGATAGGATATGTACGATATAGTGACTGCGTTGACAATGAAAATTGCGAAGATTGAAAAGATCGAAAATTACATCAATCGGAGCAGAGCACGTGAGCATCAATGAAGAAGCTTGGTAACACTCCAAAATTAGAGAAAGATGGATAATACGGATAATGAAAATAATAATAATAAAGGCAGTAACAATAACAATAGCAGGGATGGTGATTAGGTATTTTTCTATTAAACAAAAGCAGTTCAAGAGTTACCTCTTGACCTTCACTAAAACTAACGTAATGAAGTGGAGGGTGAGATTGATAACTAAATCTTTGTTAATCGAATCAACAACTAACACATGCAAGAGGAATGACTCAGCACCTGTTCCGAATATATGAAAATTCCTACTACCTATGTCACAAAAGAGGCGAGAAAATTAGAACTATGTAGAGCATGTCTGAAAGTTGTGAAGTTATCTGGATATGACTATGGACAATAAATTGTATCCGAAGCGTGATCTATTAAATAATACTGTTGCATTGTGTGATGCATTTTATAAATCGATTAAATGGAATGTTTACAGTACACCGGTAGATTCGAAGTGACTCCTGTCTGCTTCTACACCGTAGGCTGGGTCTACGAACACTTATAGGACATACTTCAATGACTGCAAGAATTTTCGCGTTCCATTGTATGTTGACAACTGCTAGAGCTTAGTAGTCTCACTGTCGTGTCCGTAATCCATTGGGTTCTTCGTAATAGAACTCCTCATTATTTTCGCTTCAGCCTGCCTTAGCCACTTAGTTAGATGCTCAGTCATGCGAATAGACCTAAGTGATTACTTCTTTAAACACATTGGGATTGGTACATGTGGTTTGATGTGTCGACCATCAGAGTCAAATCTTTCCAGGATTACTTCATCACCCATCTGATGGTGCTTAGAAGTAAAAGCTTAGCTGCACAGTAAGTCCTTTCCATGAACTCTACCAGGCTACGCCTAACTACTTCAGATACTTTGCTTCGTTTAAAAATCACTTTATTAAATACTGGGAGTTTCGGAATTGTGAGGACTACTGTTTTGTATTCTCCATCTTTTGAATGCCTACTAACAAAGCCTTCTGGATAGCTGTTTTCGGTTAAAGTGTTATTCAGTGTTTTTATTTCATGGTACCATTAGAGAAAATTCTTCTTGTTCTGTTGAATATGGGTTTGGTTAGGTTGTTTTTTTAATGGATCGGAACAAAGCTTTTGAAATCAAAATACTGCCCGGACCATGAAAGCTTCCTGGAAATGAATTCTTTCTCTAGATTCATCATTCCTTGTTAATAAGGAAACGTCTAAGAACCTAGTGATATCATTTTCTTCGTGTGCAAATGTTAATTTAAGGTTCAGGTGATATAAGTAAAAATTGTTCAACAAAGTTTCTACCTCCCTTTTACTTCTACATACAATAAAAATACCATTCATACATGCAGGTGCAGATATTTGGAAACTTTTATTACTATTAAAACTGTTACAGTGTAAAAGTACAGGTTGAAGATAAAGTGATTACTTTGATGTGATTATGAGCTCTAAAGTCTTCCGTTAATAATACTGAACTACCGTCTTCTGCATCAAATAAACAGTCTGATATAGGACTATTATTATTATTATTATTAGTCCCTTGGGTTCCTAGTGGAACATAGGGCTTCAGTAGCACGCCTCCAGTGACCTCTGTTCTCTGAGATCTTTTGAACCTGGTCCCACGACAGCCCAGAAGCTCTCATTTCCTCTTCACACGATCTCCTCCATGTCACCCTTGGACGTCCAACTCGTCGCTTCCCATGGGGATGATATAGGACTATACTCTACCATAATGCTGAAGTTTTACTTTTATATCATTTTTGTGACTGTTAGTTCGGGAAAGCATAGCCAGTATGTCTCTATCATAATATTTTACGGTTTTAATGGATTTGTATATTATTCAAGAACATCATTCTCTCTGTCTGTTTATTTATCTGTCTCCCTTATTCTTCTTATTACTTCCCATTGAATCTTTCAAACAGTACTGCATAGATCATACCATTACTGAAATATATCATGATAATCCAATCTCCACGATAGTCCTTGATATCAATAAGACTAATAGTTCAACTAGACCGATTTCTAATGCTTAAAATATCACGGGAATACAGAAAATAAAACTTTGACGGGTGTATGCAATTATCATGAAAACCCCATAATCAAAATAATACCTCAGCTAGGTAATGATAAAATTGATTATATTCGATTTGATATATTAAAAGACATATAAAACATCATGAAACTGTATGACAATAATAAATCAATTTTACTCTTTTAATCAATAATAATGTTTATATGTTTAAGGCTCCACCGGGACTAAAACGTAACTTAAGAAGGACTTACGAAACTTGGCCTAGAAATTATATATCTCAAGGAAATTCAAAAACTCGGGCTAGTCTTCTCGCTTGTTTAGCTTGGTTTCATGCAGTTGTACAAGAAAGACGGACTTATATACCACAAGTGAGTTTTGTTTTTGCGTTAGATTCTTTTTTGTCTCAGTGCTTAATAAGCCAACCACATCTACTTATCCACCAGCTGAGCTGTGAGTTGGTAGAGCGCCAGACATGAAGTCTGCGATTTCAAAAACCTGTCTGTTTACGTCAGCACATTTACGCTTTCGACACCTCTTGTTGACTGGACTTTCACGCCAATAATGTTGAATAAATGGTTCGAAGCTGTCATTTAACCCAAAGACTTTAGGTTCATTATTTGGCTGTAAGATTTAAGCATAAAGTATTTACCGACGCCTATCACCCCTGTTATTCATCTCACATGAAAGGTCATATCAGTAGTCAAGCAAACGTATGAAGAACATGTAAGCAGACAGACAAAAGAATGTGGAACCAAACTCCGTAATGACTGGAATATAAAAAGAGTAAAATTAGAAAGATATTAAAGTGAACTGGAAGAATATGAGTTAAAAGGTAGACATTAAAGACCTGTCTACAACCTTATCAATTGAAGAAATCAATTTTTGATTGAAATTTGTTCTTGTGGCTGGTTTAACTGGGTGTTAGAAAATTTCGACTAGTATATTAGTGTAGGGGCTAGTCTTGTTGGGATTGACCATTTTTTCTAGCCCATCTAACTTTATTTAGTCTTTTTTCAATTCAAAAGAATTGGGTAACTAGACTGTAGGCGATTTCTAGCAATATGTAACATTATAGCTAAATGTTCAGACAGTTGGTTATGTCAACATAACCCTGATCTATCAAACAACATGTAGTAATAGTGAAGTCAAGCAGATAGACCAAAGTAGCCGATTGGGGTCAATCGGAATATTGAAGCGCGAAAACCTAGCGAAATATAAGATGACATTACAAAGAAATATCATCTAGAAGAAAGTGCTGCTATGCTAATGGATGCAGTCGCACATAATCACAATAGGATGAGGAAGGATTAATGACAAAAGCTTTTTAAATCGAATCAACACCTAATGCTCACAACAAGAGTGATTCGATTTTCATGTAAGCTATTGCACTCACTTAACTTATAACAATAAATTCATTAAAATTTTCATTCATTTCCCTTTTTGATAGGGATGGACAAAGTTTTACGAATTCACATTTGCTGATCTGCGTACTGGAGCAGAAATTATCGATCGTTTACTACTAACTGATCATGGGAAAATGTCTAGAACAATTAAAGATGTATGGTCGTGGATCCATGGTTTATTTGGTGAATCAATTTACGGTGGTCGTATGGATAACACACTAGACTTAGGTGTATTAAATTCGTATCTTACTTCAATATTCAGTGATGAAACAGTGAGAAATCTTCAACTTGGTCCTTTCAAGCTACCGGGTACAACTGAATTAAAAGTAAGAATTTTATAATTATCATTTTGATAGTTTTAAAAGGTAAACGAAATTTTGGAGTTAACTTCAAGGTCACTGTATCATGCACACTAATGTCTGCTATAGAGGTTAATAATACAGCATAAGAGAACTTATTGTTCAATTTCGAGGTTTGTGAGGATTTATTAATTGATTTCAGGTTGGTATTCATCATGGACTGACATCAATTAGAGAAACATTGGAAATCTAGTACCACTGGGCAGCTATTCCGTCCTATCATGGGGCTCCTCAGCAGTGCACACGCATAATTCCACCAGGGATCGAACCCAGGACCTTCAGATTCTACGGCCAACAAATTACCACTGGTGACAAGCTACGAGAGGTGATTCCCGAAGTTCCAATGAGACGTCGTAACCAGGTGGGTCAACCAAGTCGAACATGAGGACACTTACACAATGACGGCCTTGGATGGAGGTCGTGCTATATCGTGAGCTGGCAGAAGTAGGAAGTGTGAACCGATGGGCCCTGACTAAGTGGCTCAATGTTAGTATGATGGTTGTAGGACATGGAGGTCACGGGTGTGCACTGTTGAGAGCTCCCGTACAAGGAAGAAGCAGCCATCCAGTGGTCCAGTGTTTTTCCAGCTGATGTCAGTCCATCATGAACGCCAACCGTAATCTATTGTACTACCTTTTATGAATCAGCAAGTGACTGTCACTGTTTGTTTGTTTGTATGGCTAATCTTTTACCAATAGCCAAGTGCTCCTATTTATAATTCTTTGAATGACCTTTAATGACAATCCACATTGTTTATCCATTCGTCATCATGCTTTGCGAACATAGTTCAAAACCGTATTATGCGTTTAGTTTGTCTGGGATAGAGACTATAAGCTAAGTCGAATCTGAGGGTTTGCAGTACTTCTTTATTTGACAAAAAAACATTGATACAATTTCATATAATTATTATTATTAGTCCCTTGGGTTCCTAATGGAACATAGGGCTTCAGTAGCACGTCTCCAGTGAACTCTGTTCTCTGAAATCTTTTCAACCTGGCTCCACGACAGCCCAGAAGCTCTCATTTCCTCCTCCCACGATCTCCTCCGTGTCACCCTCTCCTTGGACGCCCAACTCGTCGCTTCCTATGGGGATTCAACTCGAGCAACTGGCCTGACGCGTGATGTCCCCAGTCGGCCTTCTCAGTGTATGCCCAATCCATCTCCACTTCCTTCTACATATTTGTTGGGTGATAGGTTCTTGGTTGGTTCGCTCCCACAGCTCCTTGTTGCTTATTCTTTCTGGCCATCTGGTCTTCAGTAAGGAGCCAGCGTGGGCAGCTGTTGATGAATGTCTGTAGTTTGTTGGAAATCCCTTTCATAGCACGCCAAGTCTCTGAACCATACAGGAGCACTGACTTGACGTTGGTGTTGAAAATCCAGATCTTGTTCCACATGCTGAATGCAGAAGATCTCCACACTGGTTTCAGGCTAATGAGCGCCTCTTTTGCTTTTCCGATTCTGACTTTGACATCCTCGTCTGTGCTGTTGCTTGTAGTTGACACAGTGCTGCCTAGATAGGTGAGGAAGGTTACTTCCTTTAAGTTTCTCCCGTTCATGGTGATTGGAGTTTGTTGTTGGTTGTGGTGGTACGGTATCTTCATCACCTCTGGCTTCTCTATATTCACCTGAAGTCTCATCTTCGCTGCCTCACCTCTCCTGTCAACTTGTTAGTTTTCGCCTGTAGATCTTCGAGTTTGTGTGACATCAGGCACAAGTCATCACTGGCGAAATCCAGATCTTCTAGGTTCTTTTCCGTGGTCCAGCGTATCCCCTCTTCTAGTTCCCCCATGTTTGCTGCATGATCCAGTCGACCACAATAAAGAATATCATGGGGGATAGTAGGCAACTTTGTTTTACTCCTGTCTTCACTTCAAAAGCATCACTGAGCTTCCCATTGTGAATTACTTGGCATGTGGCATCTTCATATAGTTGTTGAATGAGACTGATAAAGGTTTGTAGTATTAAGTAGTATTGAAGCAGTTTCCAAATTACCTCTGGGTTGACGCTGTCAAAGGCCTTCTCAGAGTCGATCTCGTTTGCAATCTGGGCTGCCTTGCTGGGTTCAAACATCGTGCGGACATTCCATATCCCCACGTTTACTTTCGCTTTCATCGAGAGAAGACAAATCGGCCAATTGGCTTCCCGAAGGCAGGCTTTCACCAACTGGCGTCATTTCGCCTTTCCAATTCCAGCGAGGAATAAGTGTGTTTTTATTTTTTATATATCGTTTGTGCTTTGAAGTTTGTTTAGCGGTTAGATTTGTTTTACGGGGTAGGGTTGCTAGCCCTATGCCCAACCTTCCCTGTTTACCCGGGCTTAGGACCGGCTAGTAACTAGTGAACTAGTCAACCAGGCTAGGTTACAATTTCATATAGTGGATGACATTTCGTGAACAATTAATTACTTACATTTACAACAATGTAGTTGCATAAGTTTCTGCCTGGGTTGTGTGTTGTGGCAACTTAGGCCGATGCAATTTAGCGCTAGGTTCTGAGTTGATCTGTCTGTCATGTACATGTTGGATAGATAATCCAAGTTTCGACACTTTATGTTCCACAATCAGAATTCTCAGCTTATTCACGATTGCCACTGAATTAGTCACATTTCACATGCAGGTGCTGATTCGAAGAGCCGAGGCTCATCAATAAGTCCCTCCCTTCATTTTACTTGACCGCACTTTTGAACTATTACTCTTCACGACCTAACTGTTTAACTTTGTCGGTGAATACACCACAATAGCTGAGTTTTTCCCTAGATTACTCATCTTGATGAAGTATGATTTTAAACTTGGCAAAGTTCCTGTGCCGTGAAAACGTAAATGATTCTAATTTACTGGTATAATCTATACATTCAGTGTCATAGCCAGTACATAGTATTTGGTAAGTCAAACTAAAAGGATGAAGCTTTGAGGCAGATTAAATCACATGACAAATGTATCCTAGATGTTTACTTTCCTGAGAGGTTAATCTCTATAGCAATGACAGATGATGGTTCGCAGTGGAGTTCAGAATACGCGTTTCGTCCTGCTTGGGACTCGTCATCCGGATGTACTCGCCTCCCAGTGAGCGATATTGTTCCTATTAAGATTGGAACCCAAGACCAATCTCTTCACACCCCAGAGCGTTATTCGCTAGGTCAGTGAGTCACGATATACATTTCTTGTGCCCTGGGGATAGTTTTTTATCGTATTGCTTGTATTGGTTATAACAAAGAAGTAATAAAGAATTCAGACACTTTCTGTTTCTGGTATTCTTTCATTGGTTGCAGAATAATCGTAGAGTTAAGACATATTTCAGATGAAAGAGGTTCAAGGTAACCGTTTTATAAGCACTAAAAAAACACTTCTGTTACATTATGTTGTTCGAAATTCAGAAGAAAAATGAATCTCATAGATGCTACTAGACTTCTGTGATATATCCGTTTTTGTTATTTATAACAAAGTTGTTAGTGGTATCTTAAATTGCCATGGGCCGATGATTGAAGACGAAATGAAAACCTGAATGATTACAGCTTCCAGACTACCGGTCTAGTGCTTGACTAGCTGAGCTGTGAGATTTAGCCCTCATATGTGTGGTGATTTTACTTCAGGTTCTGACAGCGGAGTTTCTGTGGTAAGAATGCACTCCTTTGATTTATCTTTGTCTTAATTTCCGTTCACATTTTGTTCCAGAAACCAGAATAACGAAATTTATCATGAAAAATATACTTTGAATAAGTATGTAGGTAACTGGTTGTTTTGGTGGGCTTAATATACCGTAAATTGTACAAATTAGTTTGTGTGTGTGAGTATTGCCCCAGTCAGCACCTTACTTAAGTTTTGAATGTTGTGGACGCAGATAAATACAAAGACGCACTTAGTTATTTGGGACTACAAAGTAGAGCGATAAATGTAACAGTAAAAAATTACAGGATTATTTTAGGGAAGTATTAGGCACTAATGTTACTACTTGTAACTTATACACCAATGGACCAAAAACTGAATATGGAAGTGTGTAAATAAACACAATGAAAGTCCGAGTGAAGGCTTATCCTGTGTTGATGCTTACTCGATATAACAAGTCTCAAAAGACTGGAATGATCAGCGGTGTAAATCAATTTGATAGGACTACCTCTGATTCCCACATGCTATCTAGTACCTTCATTATTCTACTCGGTACATTCCTACCTTCCCCTTATAATTTTGTGATGATAAACCTTCAGGTCATGTTGTATTGCATCACTTCAGGTTTGAAACAACTTTCTCAGCTTCGAGGATATTTGAAGGACCAACATCTACGCCCGCTCAAACTTGATCAGGATGCCAGGATATTTAAGCGTGTATATGGGCAAGCTGAAGTGTGTTTCTAAGTGTTGCACCCCACGTATCACCTGGCTGATCTAAGAGGTTATCGGGGTCCCATCATTTCTGGCGGTTATCTCACTAACCCTTGGTTTCTTTTTGGTCATATGAAGTTGTGAAAATCGAATGGCCTTTACTGAGCTTAGGATACATGTTAACTACTTTCTTTACAGCTGCTCCGATAACAGACGAAATAATATGCCAGACTTCGTCAATAAGAGAATTTCTGTTGTCTCCAGATTTAAAACCGAAACTGAAATGAATTCAGTAACTATGTGAACAACCACGCAGTTGGCAATGAGCCCATTAGTATATTTAACCATCCTATTTGGTGAACATTCACTAGCATAAATGGATTAGAAGAGAGTTTTGTCAACTGTGGTTGGTTAGCTTTTAATTCATCCATGTGATTTTTAAAGCACGTACCGGTTAGCTGCGAGATACCAGAGGCATTTGGCTCATGCATTGCAAAATACACAGAGGCACAGTAGCTGATAACTGTTAGATCGATATTTAAACATGTATAGTTTGTACATAGGTGGCTTTGACATGTCCTGCACATGCTGAGCCTGCCTCGACATTCAGTGCTAGCAGAAGTTGGATTAATTTGGAAGTGAGCTCATGGAGGCCAGATCAAGACTTGGCACCAGTGTATTAAGTCTTTGACTGTTGGTCTGAGCCGTTTAGGAAGGTGTAGACTGCTTGGCTAGGTCCCAGTGACCATAGGAATTCGTCATCGCAGACTCATAGTGACATAACTGAAAGTCGGTCACAGTGGTGCAGATGTATTAACGCTTTGACGTCTTCAAAAGTCTGAGCATTTTCATCAACTTTGTTTTTCAAATTTTTACTCCATCTGTACATCTTTATCCACTTTAATATCAGCCTTTTTCTATCCACTTGTGCTGTAAAGTATGGCAATTCGAACCAATGCACTTCCCTAGGGATTTCTCGTTGACTTTTTTTGTGTATACTTGTTTATTTTATCTCATTTACCTTCTTGCACATTACTACTGGACATTTTCTGTTAATTCTTCTGCATTGTGACGCTTTGAAACATTGACAGTTAAACAGTTACCGGCTCTGCGTTATGTTATATCGGTAGACTGAACATAGCAAAATCAAACGAGTATATCATGAGTATTACGTTTGAGTAGCGAAAAACTGCTGTTAGCAAAATAATCCCCCAAAAGTAAAAAAAAGTTTTCAGAAAGGAAGGTAGTTGGTTCATATTCAACCGATGATTTTAAGTATAAATAAATTTACAAAACCAGCTTAAAAATCCTTAGTTTGTGAGCATCAGTGTGGCAGATGATGACTTTATTGTAGTGTTTTCTTTAAACCCACAGGAATTACACCCTAATGAATTGGCATAACGTAGTCTGTAATACCCTAATCATGCATACTGTGTTGCAAGCTTTAACTCATAGTATGAGTTTCTTGATTATTTACTTGCAATGCATTGTTTAAAGATGTTTTAGATTCTATATTATACATTTTAGGTTAGAAGCAAAATATTATCCAAATCTTACGCATTTCCTTTTACTGCCAGAAGTTTATGTTACATATGCATACATCGTCTAATAAAAGAGTATGTCCCTTTGATACATCTAAGAATATTTGTTGCAGTGTGAGATAATATTGTCTGACAGAGTATTGAACTGACTTGACAGTGTGGTTGGGTGTTAATTATTTACCAAAACCCGACCAGTGAAGCATAGCACCAAACTGAATAGGTATAAGGCTTCAAAATAACTAACCGACAAAACTGTTCGACCGCGAAATAAAATACTTGAGCAAATATTAGTTTCATAGCACAGAACAAACCAGATTACAACTCATTCTATGTATTACTAGTGAAGATTTGTAAATAGTTAACTGATCGATTACTTTCGGCTTATACTGGTGCACCTCTTGAATCACCAGATTACCATCCCAAGGATAAATAATGTGAAATGATTCTACTTCAAGGTTACTGCACACGGTTCACACCAATCAAGTGCTTGATAATACCCGATATAAAGGAAACTTATATTAGTCCAGCTAGTTCTCATTGCTGACTAGCTTCGAGAGGTGATTCATGAAGTTCCAATGAGAAGTAGTGACCGGTGGAGCACGCCTGGTGGCCGTGAGGAAATATACTCAACGATGACAATGGATGATGGTCGTGATATGTCGTGAACTGACAAAATTTTGGAATGTGGACCATTGAATTCCGACCCAGTGGCTCAATGGTAACGTGCTGAACACAGGACCTGAAGGTGCTGGGTTCGAGCCCTGGTGGTATGGGGGTCATGGGTGCGCTGCTGTGGAGTCTCATACTAGGATGGGACAGCTGTCCAGTGGTCCCAGGTTTCTCTGACTTATGTCAGTCCATGACAAATACCAAGTTGTAAAATCATTAAATCCCCAGAAACCCCTAATTAAATTAGTCAATAAGTCAAGTTGTTAAGGCTAAACAAAATTTTAAGTCTGTTATCTAGTGAAAAGAAATAATTTGCGGATAATATGCCAGTCGTTTGACTGAAATTAAAAACTACAATCGAGCAGTAATCATTCAGTTTGTCTTAACTACCAGTCATCAGCTATCGTCTATCTATAAATGATGTCGACTTCCTGTTCAGATTGAGTTCAGCTCACTTGATTTGCTTAATAATCACTAGGTAACATGGTATTTCCTACAGAATTAAATCATTTTACGTGTATGTACTTACAAACTGTAGATGCAGTATAAAGTAGAATCGTCCTAATGGTGTTCCTTAACCTGTATTTTTAGTGTAGCTGTAAAGAAATTTCAAGGTGATATAATCGTGCAGTATTTGTGTTCTGAATATCGCTTGAGATTATAGCAGTTCAGCAAAACCACTCTTCCTTACTCTTTTATTAGAAATGATTATTAATTAAGTACTTGTAATGCAACTCTGTGACATTAGAATGCAATTAGGGCCAAAATAAATAGGATAAATTTAATTAGCTACTACTAATAATAGTCGCTTTATCCTAGACGTGTGAAACAGTACGGAATTTTCAGCATGTAATAATTCAACAGAATCATTCCCTGTACAATATTTTTAAACGAAATAATTATTTCACCACAGCTTCTGGTCTAGACTGATGAGTGAATAGAAAATAACGCGAAATTTTGGTTGCGGTAATTTATTCAGCCGGTACAAAAATCTGCAACTCGACATAAATATCCTTGAAATAGTAATATGCTACATTTTTATGTATTGCCTATTGGAGTAACGTTTTTCTTTTCTTTTTTGTTGGATTGAAAAACTACAGTTTGAAAATATTTTAAAAACGTGCCAGATTACATGACGTTTAAAATACATACTTGGAAGAATCAAAAATTAAATGGGAAGAATTTGATAAGATATATTCAGAGGAAAATTTTTTGCTGGCAGCCACACCCCTATATAGCAATCAACTAAATAAATTTCTAACTTGCTCCGGATGCTTAAAGTGTTTTAAGTTTTGTTTTAACAAACATGTATCCGAGCAGGCTTCAACGTCATTTTTTGCTCCCTTTGTGCTGGTTAACACACACTTACTCAGAGTCCTTAACTCAGCCAATATTAACCAGATAAGTTGAATAAACGTTTTCCCTTAAAGTCACCTTCACCTTTATTCTATTTAAATATATTGCTCTTTCGAACATACTGCTAAATAACTCAGTTTTTTTTAATTTGTGTTTCGCTATCAATACTTACACGTTAGGTAAGCTACTGGTTAAGTGGCCACTACAGCACATCCAGTTTGGTAAGGCTAGTTGCGTTACGTACTAGTGACACATCCAGCCGCTTGCTTGCTGTCTAACATCAATAATTCCTTCCGTAATATTTCTGATTGTACTGTAAAATACTATAAAGTACCATAAAATAATTAACTAACAGTCACTCTATTTCCATCCTCAACCAACTATGTGCATGTTTTTAACTTTTTACTCACTTATCTCAGGATTATATTGTTCAAATCGATGCTCTGCCAGACCATGATCTTCCTACGCACTTCAATCTATCGCCTAATATTGAAAGTAGTCTACAACGAAGCGAAGCGAATCGTGTAATCGCCCAACTTCGACTGCTTAACAGACCTTTAATGGATTCACAACATAAATTTGATAAGAGTGTGTGGAGCAAGGAATTAGGACCAGTATTGATACTGTGGAAGAAACTTAACCAAGGCTTGAATCTGATACAGGTAAAAATAATTATCATGTTAGAGAGTTTGTAACTTTTTAAAAACCTGATCACGTTACCATTACAATATTTTGGATGTAAGTTCGTGATAAACACCAACTTGAAACAAATAAATTCATACAAACCTCCAAATTGAATTTCTATCAAGTCCAAATTATCGAAATGCTTCGAGGTGAGATTTCCTGAAGTTATAATAAGTCCTGATGTGTTGGGCAAACCGAGTGGGATATCAGAACAAATACTTAACGATGACATTGAATGAAGGTCGCGCTGTGTCTTGAGATGACAGAAGTAGGAAACTGTGGACGTCTAACGGTAGGTTGCTCACCGCAAAACCTGCAGGTCTTGGGTTCGGTCCCTGGAATGGGAGTGGGTGTGCACTCCTGAGGAGTCTCATACAAGGAAGAAACAGCTGTCCAGTGCTCCTAGGTTTTCAACGGTTCTCCAGCTGATACCAGTTCATGATGAATACCACCATGAAATCGTTATTGAGTTTGTGGAATGAAATTTTAATCTGTGATCTATTCCATGAAAGTTAAATGTCTACGCTAGCAAACCATGTCTCTCAAAGGAGATGGTGAATGAAGTTGGATTACTATCGATTTTCAACTATGGCTCTCAGTTCACCTACCCCACTGTTGTACGTTTTGTCGTATCATCCTGAATAAACGAAGTCTTAGCTACATGCTGTAATCGGCATGTGGTAACTTTCAGTTGGGTTATGTAAAAATATATTATATGTATTGTAATTTCGTCCTTTCAAAATAGTCATCTTGCATTGTGATTTTGTAGAGACACAAATGGTTTCTTTTAATCTATCAATTACTGTCATATCTTAGTTTTAAAAGTAAGTCATTTAACTGCAAAATTTCTTACTTATTTTAATAGCCTAAGCTGAATATCCTGGGGTTCTATTCAGTCAGTTACTCACCGATCTTGTATTTAGTCATGCACATGATTTATTTGTTCTTCAAACTTATATCTAGCCATACCATATTACAGTTAAAACTATTATTTTGCATCTATAACTGTGTCTTTCATAAGCAATTGTTATATTTTGAACAATTTATGCACAAGGTCAACAGATATCTTGTCGGCTTCTGACTGTTTTGCTTCTAGAAATTTCATGAATTTGCCTTATGTTCGGTTTCTACTGTTCCAGCCAAAGTTGATGTTTTGAGTATTTACATGCTACGAAAACAAGATGACATAACTTGTTAACACGCAGTAGGATGTATGTTTTAAATACTTTGATTTGTCCCAAAGTCATGTAGCTCAATTTGGTGATGCTGATTGTCTTTACAGCTAGCTTTTCGGATCGTATGTTTTTACTATGAATAGGCATAAATTGGGGGAATAGCTAAAAAGACAAGAACACTGGATAGCTGTTTCTTTCTAGCGTGTGACTCTTCAGCAGTACATATTTATGTCTCCAAAGGGAATCGATTTCATAACCGTCACTTCATATGCTGGGCATGCGTTCATCCTATCATTGAGTTAAAATCCAATGGTCTATGCTTTTCAACATCTTCAGATTTATGAATGAAATATATTTTGCAAAATCCCAATGAAGTAGAAAAATAAATTTCTGACGTTTCGCGACTTCGTGGAAATCGCTTCTTCAGAGAATAAAACCTGTACAAGTTATCGAATAGTTTAAATAGTAAAAGGTGACGAATCAGATCACGTTGTCTATACATGATAATTTGAACATGAATGCCATCATTATGCTGGCCGGAAGCGTTCACAATTTGTTTTTGTTTACCAGTTAATTAGTCTGGAGGTCAAGGTGATATGGATATGTGTATATGTATCTGGGTGTGAAAGTGTAAGAAAAAATAAATAAATAATATGGATGACAAATTCGGTTTGTTTGTATGTACTTTTGACCAGATCATTGTGCATGATGTCCAGGTTAGTTGGATAGTTAGGCCTTCCTTTCTGTTTGGTGCATTAGGATTCAACATAATGTGAAATGCCTCTGCTATTCTTCTTTCGTTGTAGTTTGAAAATCCCTTTCGAATAATTTTAATAATTCAATATCGACTTTGTGACCGTGATAGATGGCGTGAACTGCGATCGCCGACTTGATTTGTAGGTTCTCTAGTTAGTTCTACAGGATTATTTGGCGGTCGTTTTGTGTAGCCCTAATGAGGATCCTACGGGATGATTCTTAAGAATCTTAAGAAACCACCGAATTAGAACCTTTTACAAGACGACCAACACTCTGAGGAATGCTCTAGTCCACGTAAAAGATAAAGTTCCTTTTACCTCCACACAAAATTGTGTCTACAAACTAGGCTGTGTTGACTGTGATGCTTTTAATGGCCACGTCTCACAGTCGTATAACTGATTCCCCCATGGTAGTCACAAGAAAATTTCTCTCCCCTCTTATAGACTGGGATGATCAGTAAAGTAGATCAGTCTGATGGTACTACCTCTGATTCCCATAAACTAGCTAGTACCTCCATCACTTTACGCTGCAAATTCTTACCTCCAACTTCGAAAACTTCAGGCACTAAAGATGTGTAGGAGAGTATGAACGATAAACAATTGAACGTACCCCTTCTGCAATCAGAGGTCAGACTTTCACTGATGATTTGCTGGTGCTTCTGTCCTGCACAAGTTTCAAAAGCATATCCTTTTCTAACTGTTGCTTTTGGCTCTCTGTATGACATTAAAAAGACTATGACCGAGAGTTGACTGAATGCTGTAGGATCGGACTGTTTATTGATTTGCATTCTCCCCCCTACAACCATAAAAGATTATAATCGGGGACACGTTTGGAAAATACGTGCTTTTATGTTCTATATAACTAGCTCTAAAGAAGCAAGTAAACTTACACACCCATATTAAAGTGGCCCGAAGTAGCAGCTTATCCTTACACACTTCGAAACGAGCTAATCTGCAGCTTGGGATAGAAAAATTTCCCCTTTATCTGTCTGGACAACCACTATAATCACCGAGTAACATTAAATTGGGGACTCCTCCTAACCGAATGGGTTACGAATTTGGAAACTGTCGTTGTACACCCAGACCACATCGACACATCACATTGAATGACGACCACTGGAGTACTGTCCCTGCACAACTGAAAAGCGACAGTAGCCAAGACGGTGGAGACAAGATTTATTAACTTGAAGTGTATCTGTTTATATACCTATTTTACTGGACCAATAATTTTGAAGTTTAATACAGAAAAAGAGTCTTATCAGATACTAGTTGTTAATGGATTAGCAGAATACCGATGACACCATCTTTAATGGAGGTTAACGATGAATATTTAGTCCACATTTTACATGGGAAACACCGACCACTAATACGTCTTTATGTTCGTCTCAACAAATACTAAAGAAGAACTCGAACTGAAGCAATCAAAGACGAATGACTCAAATTAAGAAACTGATAAATATGCAGTTTTATCTGTTGGGATTATTCTGAAAAGAATCAAAAATTATTCAGTTTGATGGTGGATGTCAACCCTTGAAAAGATAAGAAATATATGCTTTATTAGTGATTGATTTTTCACTCCATATCGTAGTTTTAACTTGGTTTGCACAGAAGTTAGAAAAAATCTAGTGGGAGTTGGTGACATATTCATTGGGGGGGGGGGGACAGTTATCGTCTTAGTAATGAAATAGATGTGTTGCATTGTGATACTGACTATAAAACGTATGCAATAATGTTAGATTGGCAACAAGAAGCTATTTGAAAAGAGAAGTTTTTACTCTAAGTGCTGCTTTTTTCTCTAAACACCCAAACAGGGATTTTCATGCTTTTATGCTTTTCATGATTCCTGTGAAATTAAAATAGTGCCTTGAAGAGACTAACTTGATGAAATAAATGATGGTTAACTGAAGCTAATTCATTCTTTTGCAGTTGAACCTGCTTTATTACCTTCCGCTCTATTGTAGAACGAAGCAACCGATTTTTAAAGATTCTTTTGTCGAAGTACACCGGAGGCGAAAACTGCCTCCAAATACTTCGATTATTTACCATACAGAAAGTTATTTAACGGCATAGATTGAAGCTCAGGAACAGCAAATCCAATAAATCCATGGGAGTTTCAAAACTGGTTATGGGTGTTCCCACGATTCATTCACCCTCCGCAAGATTTTTGAACACAGCCACACTTCTCAGCACCCGACACTAGCTATATTTCTTGACCTGAAGGCGGAATTCGACTCCATCGACTGAGAGGTATTATGGCAATGTCTATTACTGAAAGGGGATCCTGGCAATTACATCACCTTCCTGAAGTCTCTATACTGGAACATCCACCGACTTGTTAGATTCTATGATGAGTAGTGCCTGGTTACATATTGAGATCATTCATCTATTCATATTAATTGAACTTTTTGATGTTTATCTTCACAGATAACTGTTAACCTTTCTTTTGCAGTCACGAGCTTCAAATCAAAGTAAAAGATTCCCTGTGTCTAAAACAGATTGTCATAGTCAGCATGAAGACAGATCAACTAACGAAAGGCCAGTTAGAGAATTTCTACAATTAGAATTACACAATGCACTACAGCTTGTCCAAAGTGTACATTCTAGTTTGGCTAGTCTTTCAAGAGCATGTAGAGGTACTCAGTTGGTTAGAGGAAACCTGTATCAATTAGCTAACAGTTTGTTGAAGGGTGAAACACCTGATTCTTGGTTATCACAATGGCCTGAAGGACCAGATGAAGTAGTTCCATTCCTCAAAGATTTAGTAGCTAAAGCGAATGCTGTACAGGTATGTTAAAGGTGTAATTTACTTGAAACTAACACGCTGATTTACAATTGGATTTTTAAGTTACATTTTAACTACATGGGAATTCCGCGTATATGTTTTCTTTTATTTCGTAGATAATAGTTATGGAGTATTTTCACCAATTCTTATGCAAAATATTCAAGTTTAATCTAGTTAGAGAAACTAACTAGTTTCTGGTTGTATGGGTATAAAATAGATAATAGTGACAACCGGTTTCGTCTACCAAGGTTGTTCACTTTCATACTTCTCATTTTAGTTTTTTATTGGTGTTATGAGGCAGGTAGCTTCAAGCCCAGTCTCTTGCTAGGTATATATAGAATAAAGCTGGTTAGACCAAAGTCTTTTAAGTGTTGTAAAATAAGCAGTAGGATAATGTATAAAAGCTTTGTACTTGTAAAATGCAAGATGTTGCTCCAAGAACGATCCTAGCTGATACCTAGTATAAAGAAGGGAAGTGAACTGCATAGACCAGGAAGGCTTAAAGATACAGGTGTCGAAAAATATGCAATTATCAAGCGTGGAAGGTTTAGATAGAAAAAAGGCTTTAGATAGTTACTTTGCAAATTATTGTCAATATTTCAACAGTACTATACTGTCCGTAGGATGTTGATTCGCATACTTTGAACTGGTTAGCAGATAAAAACCTCATATATCATAAATCGAACTACTTTCATATTCTCATATCCTTTCCTCAGTATAAATGACCGTCTTACACAAATTTTATCATCTTCTTATTGATTCGCTATTCTATTATCTGCACTATTTATTTTGAAAGGCTTCAATTTTTGTAAAATGTAAATCTGTTCATGTTTATACATACAAATACCATAAGTTGTCACTTCATAAGGTGAATATGCCGGCTGACTTTTAATTTACGGGTAAAGTATCAAGCTGGTAGAGCACCATGCCGGAAACCCAGTGGTCGCTGGTTCGAATCCCGCCGCAATCTAAATTTTCACTTCACCTTCAATCATCGCCCAGTATCAAAGTATCAAGTGTTTCTCCTTCAACAACATGGACTAGATTACTGTTAAACTACTCAACTAATTGTTTTCTCACTTGTCAGGTTTGTATTCAGCATGGACTGACATCAGTTGAAAAAAACATTGGAAACCTAGGAGCACTGGATAGCTGTTCCATCCTAGTATGAGACTCCTCAGCGGTACGCACCCATGACCTCACTACGGATCGAACCCAGTGCCTTTAGGTTCTGTGGCCAGTACTTTACCATTTAGCCAATGAGTCGGAATCCAATGGTCCATATTTCTGACTTCTGTCAGTTAAAAACATAGCGCAACCGCCACTCAATGTCATCATTCAGTGTCTGTCCTTACAGCCACCAGGTTTGCCCCACTGGTCACGACTTCTCATTGGAGCTTCAGGAATCACCCTCAGTGTTCTACAACTCATGTCTGTTCATGATGAATAGCAATTCGAAAAATCACTAGATCTCCACAAACCTCCAAACTGAATTAATCTAGCGCTCATTGGTGACTACCTGCGGAAGGTGATTCCTGAGGCTCCAGTGAGTAGTCGTGACCGGTGGGGCAAACCTGGTGGCTGTAAGGACAGACACTGAATGATGACATTGAGTGGCGGTTGCGCTATGTTTTTAACTGACAGAAGTCAGAAATATGGACCATTGGATTCCGACTCATTGGCTGAATGGTAAAGTACTGGCCACAGAACCTAAAGGCACTGGGTTCGATCCGTAGTGAGGTCATGGGTGCGTACCGCTGAGGAGTCTCATACTAGGATGGAACAGCTATCCAGTGCTCCTAGGTTTCCAATGTTTTTTTCAACTGATGTCAGTCCATAATGAATACCAACTTGGAAAACCACTAATACCCACAAACCACCAAATTAAATATTTCATTTGTATGTTCCTGGAAACTTTTGATGAGAACATGATTTTGATCTGATGTATTCAGCGAATTAGATAAGTAAATTCAAATTCGGTCATTATCATGATCATATATATATATATATATATATATATATATATATATATATATATAAAGTGCAGGTTGAAAAGAATCCTCTTCGCTGAATATCTTGTTTTTTATGTTACAATGAGAATTATAAGTGTAATCGCTTATTATTTAGGGTTATATTTGTCTTCCCACTCTCCGGTTTGATATACATTGACTTGACAAGTAAATGTGTGATCAGATTGCACGAAAGGCATTGAGCAAATACATCACATTTCTCAGATAAACTTCGTCTTCAAACTATATTTAAATTCGTAAAAAGGATTAATTGTTTCAAATTACACTGTGTATTTCAATTACGAAAATAGGTCACGATTAGTCATCACATCTGATGCACTGTCAAATTATTATAAACTCGACATAGTTGGAGCAGAATATCATATGATCATGATAACGACCGAATTTGAAATAACAATAGTGGTGGTTATAAGAATAATTTTACTAGTTGATGACCCAAAGATCGAGGGATAACAAAAAGGGTTACGTAACCTTTTTAAATCGTTTATAAAAGAATACGGACTAAAAAGTGATAGAGTTAACAAACAATGAAAGGATTTGTTATATATTCCGAAAGGATATAATACGCACGCTTAACTGACAGCTAACTTCGTTCGCAAGAATCACCGACTGCAACCCAGGACTAGTAGTGAGGAAAAGTTGGATGGGAGGGTTTATTCCTCCGAGTATAACAATCAATTAATTAAAAACATATGAGTATGTGTGCACACGAAATATGACATTGTCTGCAATTTGAGATATTGACATGACGTATTGACAGGATCTGATATGAACATGGACAAAAAATAGTGTCCGAAACGTTATCCAGTAAGTGACACTGTTTCACTGTGTGACATTTCTAGTAAGCCAGACTAAAATGGAAACTACTAGCATACTGTAAAAATGAGTGATTTTAAAGGCCACCCTAGCAACGATAGAAATAACCTATTACGTCTCTTCATTTCGGCCGGAATGTCAGATTTTCATAAGGTTGAGTAGTCTGATTGGTTATCTGTTGGTGCTAGCAACTGATGAGATAGCCAGTCGTATGCCCTTATTTTATGGAAAAGTATTTCTCCAAGCGAAATACCGAAGCCCCATTGATTTTTTTAGTAGTTGCTGGGATGTCCTTCAAAGCCACTCGTAAAAATGGTGTTAGAAAATGGCAAGTTAAAAATGTTCAGATCAATAACAATGTCTTATGCAAGACTAGGGCTTTCTAACAGGATTACGTGATAGGAATGGGACAAGTTAATTGGAAGATTAAATGAAGTAACACCGGAAACTATTAAATGTAAAAATAAGAATGATAATGACTATATAAAGAGCACAAAAACTAATCTGACAAAAGAGAAAGTTGAAAAAACAAAAAAAGGAACGATGCACACGACGACCAATATAAGTTAAGGCCAAGATAGAAACAAAGACTGTACATACTTCTTTTGCACACAACGGTCAGGCTTAAGTTCATGGATAGCCAAGGCCTGTGGTATTTTTAGAAGTTGAAGATGGAGGAAATGTGAGATGTTTGAGTGGATTTGATAGACAACCTTAAAATCTTTATTTGGGTCGGTTGAATGGTTGGAATCGGTTAAATGTCCAAGGATAGAACTTCTGATATATTTCCTCTCACCCTTATAAAACCAGGCCAGAACATGTTAATAAAGATGAAACAAAAAGGAAGTGACATGGTTGGTAAGAAAATAAAATTTACCAAGGTAGGTCTAGTGTAAGACACATAAAGGTGGTTTCAATGTGTGTAGGGTTATCGCTTCCATGAATCTCAGTATACGTCCCTGACTGTTTCGATATAAAACTTTGAAAGCCATTTGTGACCTGTTTCTATGATACATTTAGCTATCAATGAAAAGGATCGTCTTCCACTAGCGTTTATCACGGTTTCACTTTCCATTTGTTTTTGGAGCCATTAAGGCACATGTTCTCCCAACCTCAACTGCATAGTCGATCACACACACAGACACACACAAACACATGTGTAAACTGGTAAACAATGGGATTTGACGTAATCATTGATGAAGTGATTAGGTTTGTGGTGAACCATATGTTTTGTTTTTTCTACAATGATATGATTAGCCACGTAATATGTTTTCTTAATTACTGATGTTAGACTGCCCCCCAAAACTATACTGTTCAATTCGCTTCTTTATGATACAGTGATACAGACGCTCCTTTTAGGAACCATGAAAAAGTTGGCTTCGATCTGACCTGCCCTCTACAACTGTTTATAAACTTTAGTGGATATCCGTTTTCCATAGGTGTTTTGGTCAGTAATTTGATATCTTCATCCATCGGATCTGATATACAGATGTTATAGATCCTATTCAACAGGCATTTTACTAGAACTCGCTTGTACTGAATCAGATAAAACTGTGAAAATTCAAGTATTGTCCTGTTCATGTAGGCTTTCTGTAAACTGACCATCTTGTTGAACCATCTTCTCATCAACTCAAGGGTACGTCTAAGAATGGCAGATGATGACTATTCTTTTTCTCATAAGTCAGGTTGATGTGAGTTTTTCACGGTGTTAAATCTTCTTAGTAAGCAAATCATATCCTCATGTTTTCACAGAGAATTTTAATAGTCTTGGACAACGGCAAGTTTGTGAATAAAGAATTGACATTCAAAGAGTACATAGTCTTTTTTTTTGATATTCATGTTACTAAGACAATAAACAAGTTGAAAGGTATCTTTCAATGAAAACTTATAAAATTCGTTTCGAACTGGATTTAACACAATGTAATATGATTAACCCGAATAAATACATATAACAGAAGGCTTAAAAAGTAATACAGAGGTTGTTATTACCTTATCTAGAGCTAATGGAAGTAAGATGACTGATTATAATCATATGATGGTATTAAATATGTTGAAATGAAAAAGTTATCTTAAAATATTGTATTCAGACAAAGTTCATTTACGAAAACTGAAGAAGAATGTCTCCTGTGTCAACCAAATAAACCTTAATACAACGTT